ATGTACGTAACTTCAAACCTATTAAGAAAATTCCACTTTGTGAGTGCTTCTGCACATTAATGTGCTGTCTGGGACGTCCACCAACCCCCAAACGCTGGAAAGAAACCACTTGTGCGTTTTCTTGTGATTCCTGTAAGGAATAAGTACTAATTAAAACAACCTGTTTGGAGTCTCTCCTACACGGCCTTGGCCCCCCATCACATCCCCCCAACACGCCGAAGCCCTCAACCCCCAGAATGCGCTGTGTGGTCGCCTGCACAACTCCCAAAATGATTATTTGAGTAACTGAACTTTAAAGAGATTTGTTAAGCCCAATTGTGCGGCGTAGTGTACAATGTACTGGGAAGATTCCACAAGACAATACTGCATCCGGCAATAAACCGACCTCCACTACGCAGAGGAATGGGTTGTAACGATAACTTTAAACCTCATATTTATAGACTCCTCTATTGTCTCCATGAAAGCCATGTAAAGAAACTATTCAAGTATAAAATGCATAATAAGGAAACAAAGGTTGAATGTTTTATTCGACCGCTATTTTTACTGGAATAGAAACAGACGTCCTGTTTCTAAGCACCTTCAGATAAAGCATGCTTGATTTAAACTAAGGTGAGTAAAGTTCACCTCCGCCCGTTGGAAAAAGGGAAATGTTAAGCAGAAAACAAGCCCGGCGTGACGGATCCGAGTCCGTGGCTCTATTTGAAAGGACGGCAGAACAAAAGCAAATCAGCTGAAAGAAAACAGAGCCGTGACACGCTGAAACATGCCGATACGTAACGCGCTGAAGGAATCAAAGAGTCGTTTTCGGACCCTTTGTGAATATGAAGCGTATCGCAGACAGTCTGTCACACCTTCTTCTTTGACCATTTTCTGTGGCAGGTTTTTTAAATTACCCCCCAGGACACCCTGCGGTCTCCTCAGCTTTTCAAAGAGCCTTTAGTTTGTCATTTGATTCCCTGTTCTCCCTTTTCTTTAGACGCGTCTGTTTCCTGCAGAGCACGCTGGCAGCTGAACGGGACTGTTGGAGGAGTCCGTCGTTATTCAATGGGGAGAGGAGACGGAGGAAGGAAGAAAGCAAACGAGAAGAGGAGACAAGGATAGACAGTGGACAGGGAGGGAGGGGCGATAAAGTACAGGCAGGAAATGAAACAAGGAGAAAGGGGGAAAGGAGCAGAGAGAAAATAATTAGAGAATGAACAGATGATCAGGAGGCAGGGGAGGAGGGAGAAGGAGAAGATCACTACAAGCACATGAAAGAGAAGAAGAAGAAAAGAGGATCGGAGGATGAGAGGCCGGTCGCTCTGTACCACGGGGGGGGGGGGGGGGGGTGGGGGGGTCCCCCCTGGGGGTTCGCCGGAGAAAAGGGGGGGAAGGTGGGCTCCTCATCCCTCTCTCCTCCAACTGAGCCTCCTTCCTCAAGGTCAGTCTCTCACACACACACACACACACACACAGGCAGGCAGGTTGGCAGACATGGCACACACACGCACACACACGCACACTCACACATGCACACACAGGCACACACACACTCACACACACACACGCACACTCACACATGCACACACAGGCACACACACACTCACACACACACACTCACACACACAGGCACACACACACAGGCAGACACACGCATTTAGTGGAGCTGAAGTAGAAAAGGCGCCTTCTGCCTGCTTTTCTCTCTCTGACTCTGTACGAACCAGCCAAGTCTCAGTCAACCATCTGGAGATGAAAACACCATTCTTCCCACACACACTGAGTGTGTTTATGATAATAGACCAAATGCCTCTATTGATTCTTTCTGTGTCTGTGTGCATGTAGGATGTAGAAAATGTCCCTATACACACTTGTTTTGGGAACAAAAATCAGTCATTCACCCTATTATTGAGCCCGGCATGTGAAAACACGATATAATGGTTAATGCTCCCTGAACTTCATTGAATAAGACAGAATATTTAAAATATACATTTTTCACCAGCCGTGAAGAAGATCCACCATCACGCCGGCACCAACAATGGCCAGGCATGACCTCATGTCGCCAGAACTCTGGAAAATGATACAACAGTGCAGAGGACACAGAGTCTGAGGATACAGACGCCGCCTCTGGCTTCGAGGGGATCATGAGGGATGATGTCGGCCAGTCAATGCATCGTTTTGTTAGAATATACGAGTCCTTCGGCTAATCTGAGTAGTTTTTTTTAGTGCCACCAGATCAGGAAACATGTGGTTCTGGAGGGGAAAACAACGTGTGTTGTCATTTGTCCAACAAGCCCCCCCCCCCACACTGTTCTTTCACCTCCAGCTGTTCCTGACCCCCCCCGAGCGGATCTTTAAGCTCCGGCATTTAGTTTCCAAACATGGGCCACATTCAACTCCAGGGAGCCGGTCCAGAGAACCAAGGCAACCGGGGGCGAGCCACGCGGCGGCGTTCACGCATCAGGTTGCTATGCCCACGTGCAACCAGAGCACCTCCAGGACTCACTCACACTCTCCAAGCCTCTGCAGGAATGAACACGTTCAGAGCAGATATTCTGCTTGTCTGAGGGGGGGGGGGGGTGGGAGGGGGGGTTGGTGGAGGTCGTAGGGTTCGATAGACGTTATGTGCAGAAGCCTCTGTGCTCATTATGTGTCTCCTCTCAAGTTTATTACAGGTTTCCTCCTTGATTTATTGTCATATTTTCTAAATGTATTCTTACGGCTGGTATTAATTGTAATTGATATATGTTGCATAATGGCACTTAAGCGCACGGCATTAAACATGTGGCGCTCTTGTTTTTTTTTTTTTATGTTGAATGTTAACTAAAGGACGACAATCCTGCAAAACCAGATGACAACTAAAAACCAGCCATGATGAAACCCCTAATGGGACGTGCTTCCTCCCCCGCCTCGTAAAATATTCCTCCTCTCCTCTTTGGGTCAAATTGCCGCCCCCCCCCCCCCCCCCCCCCCCTCCTCCACCCACTCCCTCCCTCGCCCCATCCTTCATTTTTTTGAATTTCTTTTTTTCTCCAACTGGCTACAAATACGCTGCTTTTCATTACCCAGGCAGGGTCAATTCCCCAAACAATGTGTTCGGTGTCACAATAAAAAGGGTGTTCTTTACGGCGCATTGCAGTAAAATGCTATTAAACAGATAAAACACCGGCAACGAGCATCAGGAGGATTATAAAAGGAATTGCCTTGATAAACTCTGCGTATCTGCGCGATGACACGCCAGCAGCTCTCTCTCTCTCTCTCTCTCTCCTCCCTGTCGCCGGGGAGGAGGGGGGGGAGGCAGACCTCGGGAGCACATGGTCGGGGGGAGTTTGCACAGCACTGAGGCGCCGCCATCTGGGGAGACGAGGGAGAAGAGGAGAAAGTCAAAAAAACAGGCTCCATCTGTGTGCGGAATCCTGTCAAGACTGCATATGATGATATACACCCAGAGCCTTGGAAGGGAAAAAACATTGAAAATGAAATAATATCAACTGAAAACCTTTTGTTCTTGCTTGGGAATCCATGTCACATCTGAAGAATGATTATATTTATATCATATTTGTACCCGAGGCACGGTAATGCTGCCTCCAGCATTGGGTGTATTTTGAAACCAGGGGTTCCTTGAAGTAACCCATCCTGAGACGTACTGGTGCACACAATGGGGATCAGGTATGGCAGCAAATCTGATTCAAGACCCCGGTTGGTTGGAGGCGATAACTTGGTCAAATGTGCCACAATCCCATGAAATGACGGGATGCGCGTAGAGGCGCATTGCTTTGAACGTGTTCCTGCAGCTCCTCGCCGCCGCTGTGTGCTTTGAAAAGGTCTCCTGCTTCCCTCTGCTGGTCACAGGGAGAGCGCCTTCACCGAGGCCCTGGTCACAGCAGACATTTTGACTTGGCATGAAACGCACAGGAGCCGCTAACAACGGCAGCGATGGAGCTCGCTTCGGTTCCAGGGTCGCTGTGAGCCAGAGACCACTTCCTGGACCCTGAAACTGCAGCAGCTAAATGGAATTCAGCCATTGTTCATTTGATTATTTACACTTGTGCTTTTGCTACTCTGAAATGTAAAAACGTCTTTTTTGTATTACAATTCTGCAAGTATCCATACAGCATGGAGGCGTGTGGGTGGATAGCGTTGAATGTAGTGTCTGTGGAGGGGTCGGATACCAGGTTTGTGATCTGGATGATGAAGACCAGCCAGATGGCGCCATGGTGGCGGAGCGGTTAAAGCACCGTAACCTCACAGCGAGGGTCCTATTTCTGACCCAACAGGCCTGGTGGTTGAGTGTCCACCACGTGTGACCCCTCCTTTCTGCAGGTCTGTAATTGATTAGGCCACCCAACAACAAAACATGTATCCCCCCCCTTTGGTAACCGGTGCCTATAGCTCATATGGGTAAGACCAGTATACACTTATCTCATTCTGAAACATCTGCCTCGGTACAGTGATGCTGCGGATGACGGGGGGATACAAACACAAATTAAAATGGTCATTTCTCTCACCAGAAGCAATGTATTGGTTCCCCTTGATGATTTCCCACTTCACTGGAGACTTTCCAGTAGTGAAAGGAGAAGGCTGCCCAACCTTCTACTTACATGGAGGTATCAATAGTAAAACTACTTGTTCACACTCCTTCAGTAGGAACAAAAGTACTTAAGATTATCTATAAGAATATATCACAATGTATTATCGGATTTATAGAATAACCGAGTACCTAGTGTTAATAAAAGAACGTGAGTAGAACTTGAATGTAGTATAAACATATAAATACTCATGAAACAGTACTTGATGAAATGTATTTAGTTACAAACCTCACTGAAATCGTCTACGCAATCAATACTAGTTTTACAATCTATCTATTTTTATTTGCCAGATTGTAAAAATGGTATAGTATATATTAAAAAGCGTTTCCTGTTATTAAAGTGAACCCATTCACGAGGCGGGAGGGGTTCGTTATGTTCCGCTCCTCTTCGGTATTTTCCGTTCTTCTCCGGCCCGTCGTCGGCCATTTCCGGCCGGCGTCGCCTTCTGCTGTCTCGTCCTTCTCCAATCTCCGTGTTGTTGTTCCCGGTGACGCGGCGGAGGTGTAGCCTGACGCGGGCTCTTACGTGTCGGCCAGAATAAAAGTGGAGCTCCGGAGGCCCGGGAGTGACGAAGGGAGTCCGTACCGGTAAGGACGCAGCGGTGTCCGGGGCTCAGGGAGCGGCGAGCGAAGGGTCGGTCTGGTCGGGTTCGGCCCGAAGGAAACAAAGAGATCATGGCGCCGCGGTGTGTTTGGAGCAGGGTGGAGGGAGGGGAGGCTGCGGCGGTTTTGGAGAAACGGTGCAAACTGTGCGGCTTTTTCGTAACGACCCAGGAGGGACCGTTTGTGTGTTAACACGCTAGAAACCGTGAAAGCACTATAGTGGGGTTTTTTTTGGAGTCCCCTGTCAAAGTATGCTTTAATGCGCCGATTTATGCGCACATTTCTTGCGCCGTTTCCTAGATAAACGGCGCATTGAACCCCGACCATCAGCGACACGCTCATTTATTTCTGCTTCTGGCGCGATTTAATTCGATGTATCCGATTTTTTTTTGGTTTCCCGCTCACATTTACAACCGTCTCGTGTTTCCCATTCATTCACACTCCATATTAGAAATTGCGAGTTTTTTCCGCAGGACGTCGCGTTTGGTTTAAAAAAAAAAAAGCCCGTCTTTACTTCATTTCCCCAAAACCCCCGTGGTTACATGTGCCCCGTCTCCCCGTCTCCCGGGGCCGGCGTGTGCGTCCCGGGGGGGCGGGCGGGGGGGGCGGCGCCCCGGCCACGTGGCTCACGCTGTCACACGAGTGATGTTTTGAAAAGCAGAGGGAGAAATGAGCAAAGCCAATCATGCAGCGAGGAGAGGAGCGACGCACCGCGCGTCCCCACGCGAGCACGCGCCCTGCCGCCCGAGGTCCGACCCGCGAGCCCTGAAGCTCCACGCGGCGATGAATGAGGAGTTTCACAATAAGAGCTTAAAGTGTCTTCTGGCTAGTTAGTCTCTCATATCTCGGCTTTGCTGGTGAATCCCGCAGCGTGTGATCAGTGGTAGAAAGTACATTTACTCCACGAGTACTATTCATGCACGCAAACTGGAACTCCGTGTTCCTCCTCTAAGTTTTCTCATATGTTCCCACAGCACATTCAGTATTGGTATAAATACCTGGATGTGAAATGCAATCCACTGTTACACAACCAACGACAACAACAAGAATGTCTGTGGAGGGAAATTTACACGTCTACAATAAATAAGCATTACAAGGTTCATAAATGTGGTTTTCATTTTTATGTCTCCATCTGAAACATCTGTTCTCATTACTTTTATTTTATTCTGTATTTCAAGTACTTTACTGTAAAAAAAAAATCTTAATATATATATTGAAACATACATGGAACTTTTATTTTAAAACATAATTTAATGCCAAATCGCTCTTCTCATTATTTCAGTAACGCATGAAAGGAGAAAAACAACATCCCGGTTGTAGTGATCACAGTTGCCACTTGCTTATCTTCATTAGGAGAGAAAACGCTTATTTTAGTTTATCGCGTCATCTGTGGCGCAGTAAACTGATAAAAGAGCTCAGCTGCAGAAATGGAACTATCCGATACGAATTTTCAACATCAGTCGTCATTGTTCTGAGCTGTTTTAACACATGTTGTGACATTTGGTCCAGCGCCATCCAGATCCAGATGTTGTCATCCAGTGCACACATTCGGCCATGACTCCATGCTGCGCTTCACCACTGCTGCTGTGGAGGTGCAGCAGAAGACAAACATTCACGTCAACGTTTCCCCATCGAGCAGAACATAAACAACAACCACGAAGATTTGATACGGTAACAGATCTGGCGACAGTTAGCAGGACGAAAGCATTCCTTCTGAACGAAAGAATACAAGAAGCTTTTCTTCAGACGTCTGAAGTTAATATTAAAGAGCCTGAAGACAGGAGTGAATCAGATTCAAAGCACGCTGCTCGGGAGCCTCCTCGCTCACCGTCCGTGATGGTGCAGGGAAGGGGGCACCGGTTGGGGGGGCTTCCGCTAGTTGAACGGTTGTAAATGTTCTCACTTTGGGACGCCGGGATTGGGGGTTGTGGTATCGTTGGTGACGATACGGTCGTTTGATTATTCCGCTTTAATTTATAGTGTGGTTGCTAAACCGGCGGTGTCTTTCATGTGCGCTTTAATATGCCGTGTCGGGGGGCTTTAGAGGAGCTCCTGTGCTGTGGCTTTAGCCCCATTCCCTTTTTCATAGCGGTTTGACAGTTCAGTCGATGAGGTGAATTGTTACAATGTTAACGGAGTCGGCCTGGATTCAACGCGGGAATCAAACCTACGGCACTGGTACCTGGTCAGTGTGATTGTGGTTTGGCACTGTCCATTTGATGAAGCAACATCACTTGGTGTAACTGCCATAAAATAACATCCTAACATGTTCTACCAATGTTCTCGGTTAGGAGACAGATGGTATTCATTTCAACTGTAGGTCAATATTCTTCATTCAAAAATATATAATTTCCCTAAACTGTTTTACTGCTTTTAGTGACCTTGCTTTTGGGATTTTGTTTGTGCATTTTTTATTTTGTGCCATCTGGGATCGTGATGAAGAGATGCGGCGGCTGAAGCGCTTTGTTTCTTTTTTTTTTTAACGTCCTCTCCCCAAATGTTCCTCCTCAGCCCGGCCGATAGAGATGGAATCCGTGGAGGTTCAGCAGGGGGCAGAGACTGCCGTGAGCGAGACGGAGACCCAGCACATCACACAGGCACAGATTGCTACTTTGGCGCAGGTAACCGGGCGCATGGGCGCCGTCGGGGTGTTGAAGAGGTGGCGTTTCGCCACCAGGTTCAGGGGCTTTACTCCAACATTTTGCGGTCAATGAATTTGCACGTAAAATGAAGAAAAACACAGTTTTTACTTCAATCTGCACGCGGCAGGCAGCACGACTCACGTCCCCTCTGAATTCTCAGGTAACCATGACAACAGGCCACGTCTCGGCAACCGGCCCCACGGTGACGCTGGTTCAGCTTCCCAATGGGCAGACGGTTCAGGTCCACGGCGTGATCCAGGCCGCACAGCCGTCCGTCATCCAGTCCCCGCAGATCCAGACCGTGCAGGTGAAACACACACACACACACAAGCACTCGTTTTAGCCACAATTTAAAGAACATGAAGTCAGAGGGATTGTTGGTTTGTTCCAGATCTCCAGCCTAGCAGAAAGTGAGGATTCACAGGAGTCCGTAGACAGTGTCACTGACTCCCAGAAGCGCAGAGAGATTCTGTCACGACGCCCCTCATACAGGTAATGTGTGTGTGTCTGTGTGTGTGTGTGTATCTGTACCTGCCCAGCAAAACAATTTTAATATCCTCAACTATGGGACAAAATCAAACGCTTGCTTCAAATGGCTTCAAGCTGCATCTATGAACATGCTTCATATAATTAATAAAACACATTGTAACACAAAACTCTTTTTTCTTTTACTCATGATGATCAGCTCCTTTTCATTTTCTTCCTATGGAATCCTGTTCCGGCTTGTTCACTGTGAGAAAACGTCGTTCCTCGTAATCTCTGATGATGGAATTCTTTCCCCCCCGACAGGAAGATCCTCAACGACCTCTCGTCCGACGCGCCGGGCGTCCCCCGCATCGAGGAGGAGAGGGCCGAGGAGGATTCGTCCGCTGTGGCCGCCACACACTCAATCACCACCGTCACCGTGCCCACGCCCATCTACCAGACCAGCAGCGGCCAATACAGTAGGTGATGGCTGATGACGTGCGGGCAAACACAACAAACGGCCCAGATGACGACGAGTCTCGGCCAATTTTTTGTTGTTTTGTATTGATACAAAGACATGAGCAGGTTGTATCTCATTTAAAACGTGCTGGATGGGATGGACTCAACTATTAGGAGGACACGTGCATCCGTCAGCTTCATCTTCTCTTCAGTAAAGTAGCAAGTTGTTTACTCGATGAAAGCGGATCACACTTTCGAGCAAACGTACAGTTTGTGTCTCGCGCTTCATTCCTTTTCCTTTGTGCCCTCTCATCCAACGCGCAGTCGCCATCACACAGGGTGGAGCCATTCAGCTGGCCAACAACGGCACGGACGGAGTCCAGGGCCTCCAGACTCTGACCATGACCAACGCGGGAGCAACCGCCCAGCCCGGAGCCACCATCCTGCAGTACGCGCAGACCAGCGACGGCCAGCAGATACTGGTCCCCAGTAACCAGGTGGTGGTCCAAGGTGGGCGCGCTGTGCGTGACGGGGCTGCATCTGTTGTCTGGATCCGTTACTGTTGAATCTACGTGTGTATTTAATTAAATATCCCGGCAGAAAGAAAGAAATGTTATTCCTTCCCCTCCTCGCCGGGCCTTTTTGGACATTTGACGATTCTCAAAATGTGACACTCGTCTTTCAGCCGCCTCCGGTGACGTCCAGGCTTACCAGATCCGAGCGGCCCCCGCTAGCACCCTCGCCCCGGGGGTGGTCATGGCCTCCTCCCCAGCCCTGCCCACCCAGGGCGCCACCGTGGAGGTGACCCGCAAACGGGAAGTCCGCCTCATGAAGAACAGGTATGAAAAACACAGACAACCGGATGATGGTAAATAACGATGCAGCGTTCATCGAAGTGCCCCACCCCCCCTCCCCTCCTCCCTCCCCTCTCGCCTCACCCCCCCCCCCACCCCCCTAAATGTGAATCGGAAAGACAAGCCTGTGTCTCCTCCTTCCTACAGAGAGGCGGCGCGGGAATGTCGCAGGAAGAAGAAGGAGTACGTCAAGTGTCTGGAGAACCGCGTGGCCGTCCTGGAGAACCAAAACAAGACACTAATTGAAGAGCTGAAAGCCCTCAAAGACCTTTACTGCCATAAATCCGAGTAGTTTGTGGAGCCGAAACGCCAATACCGGCCGAGTGGCGTTTCATTTCTCTTCAAAGACTGCCGGCCTTCTACTTTGCACACGGCTGCTAACAAGTTAGTGGAACACTGTGCCCTTCGCTGCCGTCGTCGAGATACCCGGCTGGATAACGGTCCACTGCAGAGTCCAATGCACGAGGTCCTGTCCTTTAAAAAAAAAAAAACTAAATGGTGGACTTGCTCATATTCGACGGCCTCCTTGGACTGTATTAAAGCAATAACACTCGACAAGCTGCCCTTAAAGCATCACCGTTGTTGCTATGGTTACCTGGAGCTCCTACGTAGAACAGTTAGTTAAAATGTAAATGGGTATTTTTACAGTTTAACTTTACAGTCACAATAGTGAGTTCAGTCAAACAGTGAAGTGGTCCAAACTATGACTAAGAAACACAGATTATCAATACTACTTAATACACGAAAAGCACGCTGAGGATATGCGGCTTTATCCTAAAACTATGTGGCGTTTCGGTATCAGGCGAGTTCAGACAGTTTCAGAATGAATTATGATTCTCAACTTGATCCACGTAAACCTTTTCAGACATGTGACCATTAGTGTAGCGGACTGTACAACTGATTGGACACAAACAAGTATTTGTAAAAAAAAAAAAAAAAAAAGATGTCACCAACTGTTGATCTTTAAGGCGGAGGTTTGTCGGCAGACAGCGGATTGTTAATAAAGGAGCGAATCCTACTGGGACGTCCCGGTTTATAGCGACTCAGCATTGTTTCTCTGCTCACAGGCAGCAGACGCTCATCGGAGGTGCTACCAAAACGAGACCATTTGCAAGCTTTAAGAGTTGTTTTTACAACTTTTCATATTTATAACTAACAAAATTCCCATCAGTCAAAGTAACATTGCTTACTGACTTCAGCAACACAAGGCTCCGTTTTATCTTAAGCGCATTATTTGGAGGTGAAAACAAATCAGATTGTTGCAACAGCAGTGGACACGGTTCTGCATTCAAGTAGCTCTTTAGGGCAAAGCACCATTCTAATGACATGTATGTGTGTACGTATACATCTCTATATGTAGACCCAGGTTGGTGATGGATACAGCTGGGTGAGTAGAAAGATTAGCATCTAAAGAAAAAGACAATAACCAGGTGGTACAGAAGCACATTTGTTGGGTTCGTAAGCAGCAGAGACCTCGATGTTCGGTCGTCTCATCGCCGCAGGAAACGCCAGCTTTGGGGTCAAAAGGCAAAACACCATAATCAAAGTTAGCATTTCAACGTGACATTTTGTTTACAATATTGTGTCTGTTTTTTTGTTTTTTTTTGCAACATCTGTCAATCCAACGCTGGTTAAACACGGATGCCGACAGGATGCGAGATGGCGGAGCCATTTAAACAATTGTATAGCCGATTCTTTGTGAAATCCACAGAAGGAATCTGCTACAAAAATACAAACTCAACACTAATGATCCATGTTATCTTATATAGGACTGTGCTTTTCGAGAAGATACATGTAGGTACTGGTCCATTTATTTTTTTATATTACTGTACATGGACATGCGGCATGTGTAGACCTTGTGTATTTTGGTTCATTTGAAATTCTTACGGCTTTGATGAAACCAAGTTTTGCATATTTGTAACAGGCATTAATGTACACAGTGTACGTGTGTAATCCACCAGGCCACGGCAGCTACGTGTGAGGAAAAGGCCTTTGCTGGTTGTATTGTGGAGCGCTGGGCTCTGGATCGGCGAGGAGTCGGGGTCCACAACACACATCTGGTTTTATTATTTGTTCCTTTGAAAACCGCACAGAACATTTGGTGTTTGCAGACTGTGTTTTTGACTGGAAATGTGCTTTTATGTCAGCAGGAATCTCCCCTTTAAGAACTGTTTTTATATCCTCCAATTCATCGAATGAAAGCACAAGTTTATTTTAAGGTACTTCCAGTTGAACTTGATTTTAATTAAAGATACAATATAAGTATTACGCTAATTATTTACTGATTTAAAGAAGAAAACTAATACTGAACCAAAAGAATTTGACAGTTTTCGGGTACAAAGTACTCGATTGTTAAGGAAATGATTATTGTTTCCTCCAGCTCACTGCTGATGGTTGAAACCTCGCGGGCTCACAGAGTGGACATATGTCTGGACTGTGATGACAAATTATGCCTTTGGTTGATTTTCATTCATTTGAAAGCTACAGAAGCCAGTTCAGAACCTCCAGGCCCTGAGCCAGGAGGAAATTTGGGGGCACCAGTGTGCTCCTTACAAATTAATTTAGTTTCTTTTACATCTCGTTTGACAAACATCAACAGTTCACAGTGTTTTCATTTTTCTTGTTTTCAACATGTTGATATTGTACAGTTTATGTATGTGTAATGTATCATGGATTAAAGGGTCGAATCAGTTGAAATGATCACAGCAGCACTCGGAAGGATTTGAATAAATCATCTTAGTGGGTTAAAATGTCCGCGTGGGACTGCAGAGCTCTCAAACTGCTCAAGACTACATTAATACCGGAGATTCTGAGATAAAACGTGTTGTACAATAATTTCCACCTCTTGCAATTCACGCATGTTGTGCTGGTGCTGAAAAAAAACAGCAACATATTAATAATCTCTCTTTTCTTTGTTTAATTACATCGTTCCAACCAAACCAAAAGTGTTTAATGTCTGTGCCAGAGCGATTTATACCCACGGGCCGCACCTGTGCATGAAACCGATTGATATCCGTGTGTGTAAAAGTATATAGAGACATTCTAGAACCGTTATAATAATGTTTTTTCTAACTTTTAATGTGATCAGTTTCTATATTGCCACTTTTACAAGTTATCAATTTGAAAATGCCGCGTCTTGTATAGCATCTCGTTGACGACGTCAACATGCGATGCGTTGTGTAGCGTTCGTTTCAACGTTGTCACAGTATAAAACTGTACCAGCCCTTTATTGTAAAATGCTGTTATTCTGACATTACATCCTTCTTTTGTAAACACTTGTAATATTGCAATAAACTACTCTTGAAGATTGTTATGAATTATTGTTTAGTAAACAGTCTGCTTATGAGAGACAGAGTTAGCAGTAAGATGACGTTTCAAACGTTTTGTTTTTTTCATTTCCATGCAGACTTGACGTTTTTCGAGAAATAAGTCTTCTCAGGAAGTAACTTAACTATAGTTTCGGGGGAAACTAATCTTACGACCAGATACGTGTGATATTGATTGAATGAGGAGGAATGTTGATTGGCAGGTTAATGCGGAATAGAGGGACCGGCTTCAGTTTCCACTCTCAAAAAAGGGTGTGGGTCGGTGGCGATACAGAAATAGTAGTGTGGTAAATACACTTCATCGGTTTAAATCGTCTGTAACAGACAGCTGCTTCAACCAATGTGCGACTCCACAAGGGCAGTGTTTTGATTTGTCAGCCAATGGGAATGAATGGAATCTCTGGGTAGGAGGGGCTACAACATATGCGGGGGACGTATGTCAGCTCCGGCAACAGATGGCGGCGGTGGCACGGACTAGAGCCAGCACGAATCTGACGGGGTGCAGGCACCAATAGGGGAGTCAAGACCAGTAACTAGACCTGTTTACCCAATGAAGAACTGAAACCAGGCTTAGTCAACCTGATGTCATTGAGACTCTGGCCTAAAGTCTTGGATGTTTCTCTCTACCTTCCTTTTCCATTGGAGGCCGCAGAAACCACGGGCTAGATTTGGCTAGGCGCCGACCCGGTTTGCGCGATTACTTAGAACATCTCGTGAAATTATTTTTGCCAGAATCTGGCAGGTTTTTAATCGTCGTCGACTTTGTATTTTTTTTAGATAACATTTATTTTTGCACTGTGTTTTTCCATGTGGAATAGAAAGTTAAAGATACATGCTAACTAGTCTGCTAGCCTGCTACAATGCTAGTTAACTAACGTTACCTCGCAGCGAAACTAGCATGTTGAATGAATGAATGCATTGGCGACTCCCTACATTTAATGAACAGCTATTGGTTGATATTGCAATAACACGATTTACCGATCTACAGCGGGGTGAATCTGTGTTGTCCGGCTCCTTTGGCTGTTAAACTACACAACGGGACGTTACCCTCAAATGGACAGGAACGCGATTCCACGGATTCGGCGGACAGCGGCGACTTAGCACGCTCACTTAGCACCGTGCTAATAGCGCCGAAAGCCCGGTAATGTTCACGAAGCTGTGGCGGGCTCATTTTAGCTAGCAACACACCGCCGCACTACTCGTCCTCGGCTGCAATAGTGTGAAGCCTACGCCCGCCTCGCGATGGGAAACACCGTGTCATGCTGCGTCTCCCCCGAGTCGAGCCCCAAGCTGCCGTCCAGGCAGCCGGCGGAGCGCCTGGAGGAGTTCCAGACCAGCACCGAAGTGAGCGATGACAACACCGTGCCCTACCTGCAGCACATCAGCGACAGAGAGGTCCCCGACGGTAGGCGTCCACCTGTGTTAGATTTTAAATGGTTTAAAGCTCCATTTTCCTGTGCTTGGCACGTCACGCCCCGGCTGTTTGTTTACAGGGAGGCTCGTAGTGAAGGAGCTCCCTCACATGAGATCTAAGCATGCCGACTCAATGACAGATCATGCAAATATCCGCCCATGTGCGCACACACACACACACACACACAGCTGTGTCAACAAGAGACACGCATACGGGATCAATGTGTAGCGTGACAACTTCATGAGGCGTTCACTGCCCTCCGACCACCAGCGGTGCGCTCACGAAGATCATGTTCGTCTCACTATTTAACGTTAGCCGGTCACCGCAGCTTCATGTTGATCTCGCTGACGTCACATCTCAAGCCTCTCATCATTTATTCATTGTTGACTAAGCAGCCTCAGTTTTACATCCCTGGGATCCAGAAGTTAGAAGTGGAGCGGGAACAAACATCTTTAACATTTGCTGTGTGTGTGTGTGTGTGTGTGTGTATATATATATATATATATATCTATATATATATATATATAGGGGATATGTGTGTATTTGAGCACAAACCGGGTGTGGTAATGTGCTGCTTTTGACATTAAATCAGTCGCACTATACCAACTGATACTGAGACATGGGAGTAAGCGTGTGTGTTTGTGTGCGATGTCCGGTTGAGAGCAGCTGTCCCAATCCGTCCCGCAGTCCTTCCCACATTCCTCATGTCTCCTCTGGGCGTCCTCGCCTGGCGAGCGCTCCCATCGCCTAATCCCCAGCCTTTTATGGAACCCGTCTGCTCGGATTTAGATAAAGAACACAATCGTCATTCTCGTGGACCAAACGGGGCCATCTGTGTTTGCATTGCCTGAATTTACAGTTCAGTTCAGTGAAGTATCCTCATCATAAAACGTCCTAATATGATTCTTCACGAAACCATTGATAAACAACCGCTCGTCCATTCTCACTCCAGACAGTTTCTCACTGGGGGATGACGATGTTAATACAAAAGTCCTCTGTGTCCCTGGTAGTTTAGCGTCTGCTTTTCATAATGACAGAAGGAAACCTGAAAGTGATGCTCTACGGACTTTAATCGGAAAGTAAACAGTTTAGCAATCATGTCCCACTTCACAACACAAAAACATGCATTATAAACAGTCCACTAGTTAAAATGCATGAGTCTTTTGCCGTCTCTGACCCGGAGACCCGCTCGGATAAGGAATATCTGTTGTGCAGCCGTCGTTCTGACTCCCGTTGCATTATTTCTTCGCGGCTTAATGGCTTTCTGTCGTCTCCTTTGACTTGCTCGTCTCCCACAAGCGATCGTCAGCGCGCAGCACTTACGTTGTACTTGTTGTTTTCTCAGAGCTGGCCTCCGAGTCCAACCCGTCGGACCACGCCCGGGCCAGCACCATCTTCCTCAGCAAGTCCCAGACCGACGGTGGGACAAACACACACACACACACACACACCTCTGAATCACATGATTGTTGTTTGTTGAGACCGCTTCAGGGGATGAAGTGTTAATTCTGTACCAAATGTTTTTGTATATGGACAATTTGAATAATACGCGCGTTCTTTGTTTGTTGCCATCCTGCTTTGGTCGTGTACCAGATGCACTGTTGAATGGGGCTCCTGCGTGTCTTTGTGTAACGCCTCTCTTCTTTTACAGTCCGGGACAAGAGGAAAAGCAACCACATCAATCATATCAGCCATGTAAGTGTTGGGCTGATGATAAATATGATTCTGTGTTTAGCTGAATGCGGACCTGGAGGGGATTTTAATCTGTAGTTCGGCCAATTCAAAGGCGCTTCTCAGGTTAACTGATCTGCTTCTAGATTGTTTATTTCTACCGTCAATAGGAGCTGTTGGTTAATGACGATGAGCATAATGTCGGACCTCGATATTTAGGACACGTTCAACCGTTCAGTGGTCAAGTGTGTGCAGATGTAATGAGATGAGTTCACCTGACGGAGCCATTTCCGCTCCTCAAGGTATCGCCTGGTCCGCTGTCCAAGAAATACAGCTCCTGCTCCACCATCTTCATCGACGACAACACCGTCAGCCAGCCAAACCTCAAAAGCACAATCAAATGGTGGGAGGATTTCACACTGGCTCTCCCTCTCTCACACACACACACACACACACACCACGGCCCGGGTTGTCCCAGAAGTGCCTCATCTCACACAAAATAATCCCGTTGCGTCCCAGTGTGGTAATCCCAGAGTAATACTGTACTAACAGTGTTCTGTGGGGACGCTATTTCATCCGGATTATCCTCCTGTGTTAAAACGGGGCCTCCTTGCTTAGTATGTGCAGATCTTTTTGGAGTGACACACACACGCACGCTAACTTTTTTTTCCCCCTCTTTCTCCAGTGTCACGTTAGCAATATACTACCACATCAAAAACCGGTACGTGTACACGGTTCTCTTTGATCAGCATCATAAGATTTGCTCGTTTTTACACCGGTCCGTATGTATGTATGTATGTGCGTGTGTGTGTGTGAAGCGTGTTGACAGATGAACGTGTTGTGTGTGCTCCTCAGGGACTCCGACAGGTCGCTGGACATCTTTGATGAGAAGTTGCACCCTTTATCAGTGAGTATGTGGATGAGATTCCCTCCGTGGTCCAGATGTCGTCCTGTGAAGATATGAATGTTTACGCTGTAGCCTCTGTGAGCCTGTAGGCTTTAAATAAATATCTGCATTGCATTTACAGATTCCACAGCAACGTCTCTTTATCTGACACTCGTGTCTCTTTTTGTAATGGCAGTGGGAATGACGACTGCTTAGTGGGCGCATACGGCCCCCCTAGTGGGATGCGAACCATCGACCACATGTACACGGTGCAAAAAAGGAAGGAAGATGAGACCAAAGATGTGAAAGAATAATATGAAAGTGTTGCATATTAAGCGTAGAGCGGAGAGGATCGTCCCTGAGTGCAGAATGACTCTGCGGGTTCTCTGCCTGAAAGCCTCCTGTGGCTTTTCCAATAATCACAGTATTTACATGAGTCATTTGAATCGCCTGCTTCTGATCCGACCAAAAGTAAACGCACTCATCATCCCCCTCCAGGCGCAATTTGGGCAACGCATGAGCATTTTATCACTTTCCAGTCGTTGTTAATGGACCCCCCCCTCTAAGAACGCTATCTATTTGGTTTCTAGAGAAATAACCGTAATATACTGAGCTTCAAATTGGGCTTTTAGGTTAATGCGAGATGTATGACAAAGGGAAACAAACTGAATTGAACAAATGTATGTAAACATTTCATCATTTATGCACAGATGAAGCTGTAGCCTCTCGGCTCCCTTTTGACCTCTGTGGTCCAGGTTCTTCTCGCGTTGGTTTTTTTTCACACTGACGATGTGTGTGTGTGTGTGTGTGTGTGTGTGTGTGTCCGTGTCCCACACAGAAAGAGCCAGTGCCAGACGACTACTCCCACGTCGGCCCAGAACACAAACTCATCTATCGCTTTGTGAGAACGCTCTTCAGCGCCGCACAGCTCACTGCCGAGTGCGCCATCGTCACCCTGGTGAGTCCGACTGACTGATATACTATATATATATATATATATAGTATATTAGTATAATGCAAAACAACAAGACCAGTCGTTAAGCTGCTTCTATCGGTGGTCTGTAGCATATTGTTGACATTGTTATAAAGTCTATTAAAAACACCCATTGCTATAATTAATAGTTGATGCTGGACGTAAAGAAGACGGTGGAAGCAGGTGGTGGTAGAACTCTAAGCTGCCCAGCAGAGGGCAGTAGACTCACACAAATCACACCTCCAGGGCTTTTCCCTCTTTCCCCGGCTGCAGGTGTACCTGGAACGCCTGCTGACCTACGCCGAGCTGGACATCTGCCCCGCCAACTGGAAGCGCATCGTCCTGGGGGCCATCCTGTTGGCTTCCAAAGTGTGGGATGACCAGGCGGTGTGGAACGTCGACTACTGCCAGATCCTGAAAGACATCACCGTGGAGGACATGTGAGTTGGTCTCCAGGAGGAGGATGGAAACCAAAGGGATCAATTAGGTCTCGTTCTGCTGCTGGTTAGCTAGCGCCTTTTTATGAGTAACTGCTCCTTGTTTTAAAACCCCAAACAACCGTACGATCAATCACAAATAGGACTTCTTCTTTTTTTTGTCGTGTTTAACTGTTCAAGAAAATGAATTGTTGACCGTTTGTTTACACAGAACCACGCGAGAGGCCGTTTTGGAAACAATGAGCCATGGCTCGTGATTGTATGAACCCGCTGTCAATCACACGTCTTTTCTGTGTGTTGTGTTCTGTGCTCTTGTTTCAATGAAGAAATCATCTCCAGTTATAGTTCATATCTTTTATTTAACAGCACGATGAAAATACGTCCAAATATGGTCTCTTTATTTTCTTCTGAGCTCCATATTTTCCACAAACTCAACACTGTTGTCATTCTGGCCCTACATGCTGCCAGCCCTCTTCATAATAAACATGTAACAAAGATGCACTTAGATCAGACACAGGAGAAGGGCTGCAGCCTCCTTCCTGTCGTTGGGGGCCGCGAGCCGCTGGAGGGGCCGGGGGCTGCACTCGCAATGATTGCTTGAGTTCCGTGTGTGTGCACGAGGTTGAAAGAGCCTCCCTGTTGTTTGTGATTGGGAAAGGTGCGTGCACCGCCTGCATGTTGGTGAGCCCCCATCCCTCAGTGACCCCCCCCCCACCCCTCCCCCGGCGCTCTACGTCTGACCCGCACTCTCTCCGCTCTGTTTTTCGTCACCGTCATTGAAGTGTCTTTTGTGAACGTGCTCAGGTCTGGATGGACTGATGAGAGGGAGAGGGGGGAGGAGGGGTTCTCAAGTGCTCTCACTGCTTCTACATAATGGCCCCCGGCTCTCGCCCACTCCATTAGTTGCCCCGGGAGACCAGACATCACATGCGCAACTCGCACTCACCCCTCACCACCTTTTGCTGACCAAAAAGAAAGCATCCTAGATGCCGTCTCCTTGGTGACCACCTCCCTCAGCTCTTCTCATGCCGGTGGTGGTGATGATGATGATGATGATGATGAAGGCTGATATCAGATGATGATGTCTGGTAGTCTTGAAAAAGAGTGTGTGTGCACACAAGATCCTGCTGCTGACTTACACTTTGTCCATTTTTTGGGTATTTATTTAATATTTATTTGTTTTATTTTGCATCGCCCCAAATTACAAATTTGTTAATATGAATCTATATTTTTTTTTCTCCTGAATTCAATCAACAATCAATTGTTGTCCTGATCAAAATTCTGCTATTTTCCTTTTTCTCAAAGTTGTAGCCAGTGACTATTGCCCCGGTCCCTTTGTAAACCTGTGGGCTTACTTATTATTATTATTATTATTACTACTATGGAATAACAAAATGCAGCACATGCTGTGTTGATTTGACAGTACACACCACACAAGATGACATGGTGGCTCTTGTGTCCCCCCCCCCTCCAGGAATGAGATGGAGCGCCACTTCCTGGAGCTGCTCCAGTTCAATATCAACGTGCCGGCCAGCGTCTACGCCAAGTACTACTTTGATCTGCGGCAGCTGGCGGACGACAACAACCTCAGCTTCCCCCTGGAGCCTCTCAACAACCAGCGCGCCCAGAAACTGGAGGTGATGCGACGTGTTCTGGTGGATTGTGACCGAACCGCAGCGCTCGGTTTGCTCTAACGTGCGTTTTTTCCTCTGCAGGCCATTTCGAGACTTTGCGAAGACAAGTACAAGGACCTGAGTCGAGCAGCGATGAGGCGATCCATCAGCGCCGACAACCTGATCGGCATACGCCGCTCCAACGCCGTGCTGTCGTAGGCCGGGCGGCAGCCGGGCCCCCCCGCGGAGCCGACCGGGGGTCCGTGCCAGCCGAGGGATCCCGAATAGTGTTTTCACAAACACCTTATTTATTTCTCACTCGACCCTTGTTGCTCTGTTGCAGTTATCTGTGAGGGGGAAGGAGGTGTAGAGGGACGGGGGGGGGCTCTGGTCTTAGTACATCAGCCCCCCCCCCCCCCTCCAAGGAATATTTGAATTGTCCCACGCAGCCTGGTGTTATTCTGTATTTTACATGTCATCACCGAATTTCACAAGACAACCAAAACCAAGAATGTTGTTCTTTGATTTTCCCGAACTGACTCTACTACTACTACTACTACTACTACTACTAGCACGACCACGTCTACTACTATGACTACCACACTTTGTGTTCAACGTAATGCAGGAACACTATGGCCCTCTGAGTTCTGTCCGTCTGAGCACACCGATGGTGCTCGATGGTCGGATCACTTCAATGTTGGTTTTGGTGTCTTCGTGGAATCGGTTGATAATAAAATATAGGACGAGACGGCGTTTTAACATGCAATCCCTTGTAAGTTAGAGTTCCTTTTTTTGAAGAGTTGGAGCAAACCATGTACACACAGACAGGCGTGTCAGTATTAAGCGATCCATGCGCCGGGAGGCGTCGGACCTTCAGTCAGTGAGTCGTTCACTGCTTGTCCCGGACCCCCGAGGCACAGCGCTGAAATAAAAAATAAACTACATAGATACCGAGGGGGGGGTCAGAGACGCTGGAGGATGCTACTCTCCCCCTGCCCCCCTTTTTTTGCTTACTATGTAGGCTACTTAGCTGTGAAATGTGTCTTGTTTTTAATTGAGCAAAAAAAAAAGTATTTTAAATAAACACTAATCCTGTATAACAAACCTCTTGGTCATTTCTCATTTGTTTTTATGATCTGGGACCTTTTTAAAGTGATTAATGTGTTGTTGTATTTGGCCTGGAACAAAGCCAGTATAACCAGTACAACTGGCCCCTGAAACGTTACCAATTAGTGGATCACTCATCAGATGTGACATTATCCTTTATAACATAAGCGCTTCATAATAATATTATTATCCCAATATTCTCTACGTGTCGTGTAGCTGATCATGAGGCGAGCCACGTTGGGACCGTCCTCCTGGACATTATTTACCTCTCCAGCTGTCTTCAACCTTTGGTGAAGTTTGCATCTTAACGAGCACCAATCAGAACGCAGAGACCCCTCCGACCCCCCAACAACCAAGACTTTGATCATCCTCTCAAAGGCAGAGGTTTGCACATATTGTAGGACGAATATTGTAGGAAGAAGTTGGAGATAAACACAATACTGAATTCATAAACTCTGGAATTTGGGTGCAGCTGCAGACTTGTGGGAGACCTTAACATCGATGAGAGGAAGGACCGTATTTAAGTATTTACTCTGCAGGACAAATACTGGAATATTCCATAGACGTGCAGGTGTCCCGCTGAGTTCCTTGTTGTAAATTAAGCTGCAGGGAAACAGGAGCCTATGAGGTGAGTGATGCTTCGTTGGTTTTTAATGTTCCCCTTCACGTCTTGGTTTGGGGTATAATGGAAGTGGTTTTCAATACATGACAACTGAACAGAGAGATTCCAACTGAGGTATTTTCCCCTTTTTGACTTTAACATCAATTATTTAACAACAATCATTTCCCCAGGTAGAATATTCGCACAGATTGCAACGTTCAAATACAGCGACTGACTGATTCTTTCCCACTAAAAAAAATAAAAAATTAATTTTGCCAAAACATGTTACGCCGAATATACTGGAACAAGATGTGCTTGAAACCACAGATCAACTCTGTTTTAATCCCACAATATGATTCATAATCTACATTATGTTTTCCATTTTGGGAATTCAATCAACATGAGCAGATTTACATTTAGACACAAACAAAAAGCTAAACGTCAGTTTTTACCAAGACTTCCCAGCATCCGTCATCACTCGCACAATTCAGCCTAATAAATAAGAGATATCATCCAGCATATGGACGCGCAATAAATGAGAACACCCCCGACACTTCATTTTCACCACGTCGGCTCCTCTGAGGACTTTTCCTTTTTTGATAGTTTGTTCTTTACAAATCCAGTGAGTTTGTTCTCTCAAGCCCTGATGATTAAAGCATCATCCGTCCTGCTGAAAATGACGACAAATGCTCAGTTCAGCCACAAGTTCAACTTTAAGATTATTCCCCAAACCCCTAAAATATAAAACTGAAAATGTTCATGTTCTTTAGATTTAAAATGTTTATCACTTAGTACTTTTATTCAATTAATAACCATAAACATCATTACTGTTTATAACAAATTCAGTAAATGAGGAATATTTCAACTTGATTCAAGTCTCTAACATTTAAGTCCAATAGTTCCAATAAAAGAACACATGAAAGCCACCTAATGGGTAGAATTAATATCCCATTTGTATCTTTCTTGTGAAATGCCTGTCACCGAGTGTTCCTTTAAATTGCTTGTTTCCTCCAACCAGCCGGGCAAAGATACCGAGTGAACAGTGTTAATAAACACGAGAACAGCAGCAATGTATTTCATTCAAGGAGCTGAAAGGATCATTCTGGGCATTTCTTCTTTAAAGGACAGTAGTAATTTGTGGATTATTCCAATTGTTGCTGATTAGTTTTCCACTGATTAGTTCATCCAGTCATCAAATTATTATTTAAAACACCGGTCCATGAACATAAACTGTGTGTGTGTCGAGGCCGTGACATTAAAGCAGAAACAGAGTGACGCTTGACGAGGTGAGGTTCATTTTTACAGCAAACAGAAATCACAACAAATTTAGAATAAATAACTATTCCAATCGTATATTTCATTGGTAGTATTCCTTCTTCTTAAATAGTTTTGGTTCAAATCCTTATGGGACGGAGGGTCTCGGGGGTTTGGGGGGAGTGGGGGGGGGGACCAGCAGATGGGGGTGGAGGCCAAGTTCAGTTTCATCGCGCAGCTTTAACCTGTCGGTTCAATCGACACGAAGCCGACCGGAGCTCAGAGGTCATCCGGCCATCATTACAAAGACCCCTCCGCAAATACGCCGGCAGCACCGCAGCAGTTTGACAAATAAAGTTTGTCAGTTGTACATCATTAAAAAAAAAAAAATCCAGATATCACACTCAAACATTGACATGAAACAGCACATTTATGTACAAGTCCATACGACTCAGATGGGACAACATTGGCCTCTGTGGTGTCTCACACCAACTAAACAGATCACATGATACGCCTTCTTTTTCAACAGCAACTTTATACAATATGTACATGAATAAATATGTTTTTCTCTCTCTCAGTGCTCAGGGTAAACGGATAGGAAGAAGCGCGTGTGGTTTCGTTACGGATCCACGTGACTTGGTTACGTTCAAATGTTAAATGTCGCTCTAGAGAAGCATTTGGTCTGGAGTCAGTTTCTCAAAAGGCAGATTCTCTTTTCAGATATTCTCTCATGCTTAAATTGCAATGCTGGTTGTTTCTCTGAGCTTTTCCCTTTTTTTTTTACGCTGGTCCAATGTACTTTTTTAAATTGTCACAATCGTCCAGTTTTTTTTTTTTCAGTGAGAGCTAAATCTCAGAGCAAGGCGGCCCTGCAGCTGCTGGTCCTCTTTCTCTCTCTCCATGTTTGGATACCTTTAGTTCGGTCAACGCTCAGCCGCGGCAGCCCCTTCATATACGCGATGGAGCGGCCTTGTGGTAGAGCCCCGACGTCAGTCCGGTCCCAGTATGTCCGGTCAAAGCGCTGCTGGCCTCGCTGTACATGGAGGGCGGAGCGGTTGCTTTCTGCGGCCAGCAGGGGCAGCATCGAGCCACGAACCTCCTCCAGGACTCCACGGTTTTGCCTGACCAAATCCAGACCCCCGAGGTGATGCCCACCACTAAGCACATCAAGTACTTGAGCATGAAGACGGCGTAGTCCGGGCCCACGCCCGCACGCTGGCGCTCTGAAGGGCAGGAGCACGCCAGGGCTCGCTCCCAGCCGGGCCGGTGGTGCTGCTCGTAGACCAGGCAGGCCACCACGATGGTGGCGGGGACGGTGTACAGCACCGTGAAGAGCCCGATGCGGATCATCAGCCGCTCCAGCTTGTCCGTCTTGGTGCCGCCTTGCTTGATGATGCTCCGGATGCGGAAGAGCGAGACGAAGCCGGCCAGCAGGAAAAGTGAGCCGGTGAAGAGGTAGACCACGAGGGGCGCGAGCACGAACCCCCTCAGGTTCTCCAGACTCTGGTTCCCCACGTAGCAGATTCCGGCCACGGGGTCCCCGTCCACCGAGCCGAGGGCCAGGACCACGATGGTCTTGACGCTGGGGATGAGCCAGGCGGCGAGGTGGAAGTACTGGGAGTAACCCGCGATGGCCTCGCTCCCCCACTTCATCCCCGCGGCCAGGAACCAGGTGAAGGACAGCACCACCCACCAGATGGAGCTGGCCATGCCAAAGAAATACACCAGCAGGAAGACCAGGGTGCACAGGGCGGGCCCGGTGGTGTCGTAGAGGACGTGCAGCTGGTCGCCGGCGACGCTGCCGCTGGCGCCGCACGCCACCCGCTCGTGACCCGCCACCAGGCGGATGATGTAACCCAAAGACACAAAGAGGTAGCAGGCTGCCAGGAAGATGATGGGCCTCTCCGGGTACTTGAAGCGCTCCATGTCGATGAGGAAGGTGGCCACGGTGGTCAAGGTGGAGATGAAGCACAGCACCGACCAGAGTCCCACCCAGAAGGTGGTGAAGGCGCGCTCGTCGGCCGAGAAGTAGGCCTGGTGGCAGGGCTGGGCGCAGTTGGGGAGGGGGCCGGTGTGGACCTGGCCGTACAGCGTGTGGGACTCCCTCTTGATGGGCACCAGGGGGTCTCGACAGCGGCACTCCCTGTCGCACAGCGGAGGGCTGGGGGGTCTGGTCCGGCCTTTCGGGGTGGGCTTGGGGAACGGCGGCGCCGGGGTGGTGGCCTCGCTGCTGTTCTGGTCCATGCACAGGGTCTCGTCGCCCAGCTGGGGCAGCTGCTCGCAGCTCATCCTCTCGGGCCACTCGAAGCCGTACTGGCTCATCAGGGGGGAGCAGCCCCGCTTGGCCCGCTCGCACACCGAGCGGCAGGGCGGCAGCGGCTTGCGGTAGTCCGGCAGGCAGATGGGGGTGTACATGCTGCACAGGAAGAAGAGCAGGTCCGGCGAGCAGCGGATCCGGACCAGGGGCCAGAACTGGTGCACCTCCAGGCCCACCTCCTCCTGGGTGTCGTGGTTGAACTGGTTGGGCATGTAGGTGAGGTTGTAGCCGATGCCCCTGCACATGGGCACAGTTATGGGCTCACACACCAGATCTTTGGAAGCCGCGGACGTGAGACCGGGACACCGGAACAGGAGCAGCAGCACGAGGAGCCGCGGGGCCGCCGCCGTGTGAAACATGTTAGAAATGATTCGTTTAGGGAATTTAAACGATGAAACAGAGGTGGAAGCTTCAGCTGATGCCAGGAAAGCTCCTTCTTCTTCAGAAGCAGAGTTTCATTCCGCTTCTCTTAAACTCTTAATGATTACAAGTAAACAGGTTGAAGTCCAGGCGGTTAGTTCTTTCTGTCCGTAGAGGTTGACGGAGCCTCCGCTGTCAATCATTCACCGCGCATTCCACGCAGAGTTCATCTCCGGTGGTCACGTCCCGGTAAATGGAACGACCTTGTGACATTTCTACCGGGCCGGTTTGTTCCCGACGCGCGCCGGGAAAAGTCGCATCGTGAGACTCGCGGGATCGCCAAGAACGCGTCAAAGGAAGTGCGTTCAAAAACAAACGAGTGTTCAAACGTGGGCATTGAAGAGAATGTGCAGCCTCCGCAACCGCAGCCCGGGGTCAGAAAAACCCACCTTAAGTTTATTCCCCCGGTAACATGGGCGGTAGTTTAGTTTTCTCCTTACTTTTCAAAGTTATGCCGGTGCTTCTAACGGAAAGTAAAATATAAGAGTATTCCGAAGCGTCGTGCAGGGTAGTAAACCAAACGCATCCCGTGCGATCAGGTGCAGCGGTGCGCGGCTGCTGCCTCCACTGAGCCCCAGGACGGAATAAAGTCCTCCTGGAGCTGCAGCACCTCCTCGTCACACACGCACACACATACGCACGGCCACTGCTGCGTTCAGGGACTCTCGGAAATGTCACACTCAACCATTTAAGCGAAGCCAGTGAAGGAAAAATAAGGAGCTTCAGCGCCACGTGCAATGTCCGTTTTTTAAATGACACGTTGGGAATAAGGTAGAACTTAATTGATCGCAATTGTTGCGCAGCTTTTGCGTGGAAAAGTAGCAACAACAACAAACATAAACATGTAACAAGATAAATGAGTAACAGCGCAGGTCAAATGTGGTTATTTTGATTTATAACGGCACGCGCCAAATCAAATCAACAGCCCTGAGATAAAGAGACATTATCCAACATTATAGCAACATGGTGTTTTATGTACTTCACTTACACGTGTACGTGCAGAAAAGTAACCGAGTAGATGAAACATGCATTATAGCAGCATTTACAATAACTTGTATTTTAAAATGTACATATTTATGTCGCCAAGTATAATGTTATATTGACAGATTTGTCATTAAATAAACATAGCTCAAGTAGAATGCCCGCCGGATGAACACATTAACATGTAAACATGCTGTTTCTTTCCTCTTTGTTCTGCAGCTCAGTGAAGCCCGATGTGGAAAAACTACTTTTGTCTCTGTCCATGTAGTAAACGTGCCCTACCGACTGCCCCTGAACGCACCAGTGAGTTGTATTTATGACTTCTTGCATCAGGAGTTTACCTGGAGAGCCTGAAGGTATCAGATGATGGATGACGTCTCTTCACACACTGACACTCCGACCAAACGACCACACACACAGCAATAGTTGTTTAAATAGTATATTTATCTGGCATTTCAAACAATTCACAGTATTGTTGACATCTACAGCAATTTCCTCTTCAATATCACAGTGTGTGTGTGTTTGTGTGTACGTGCACTCTTCACCTAGCTCACAAACACTCATCCAGACTTCAGTTTGTCATTAACATCCACCAACGGTCTCTTTGTCGTTTCCTGTTGACTCTGATCACACAGAAGATGACGAGCGGAGGGCTGACTCATTAAATACAACGAATGCAACCGACGTTGAACCACGCATAGACGCAATGCTCACAGTTGTTTATTTAAAGCGTACGTACTACTTATTCCAACTCGTATGTTTTGTTTTTATTGGGGTTAAAGAGTACGGTGGTTCTGCTGGTTTGGGTGGATTTAGTAAAGTCGCCACAGCAAAAATCCGCTGTGCTCAATGACTGATCGTATGACTCTGCTTTCTACACTGCATGTACACATACAGACAAACACAGCCATGTCCCACGTAGGACAAAGGTCACAACGCGCTCTGGGGACAAAGGTCTCAAAGGGTGTGTTTGTGTGTGTGCGCGCGTGTGTGTGTGTGCGCTCTTGCTCTCAACATATCAGCCAAGACGAATCTGATTTGCGTTCACTCAAGTTACTTGACAAATAAAAGCAAACAGCGAAGAGTTCATGAGTGAAGCCTGGATCACATCAATCTCTCATGCCTACACACACACACAGACACACACACACACACACACACACACACACACACACAATACAAACATGCCTGATTGCTTGAGGTGTTTTTCCTGACTTTAAGTGGGAACTTCATCAATTGCTGAGCAGTTGCTAGAAGACGCTCACGCATGTGTGTGCGTGTCCCCCCGTGAGGCGCGTGGACACGGTGTCTGTTACCTTCAACTTCTCATTTCATCCCAAACTAACTTTGCAGGGAGACTAAAACACTGGAAATCAGACACTTGAAAATGTCATAAAAGTCTAAAACTCAAACTGGTCCCCACAATGATGGAAATATAAGAGCGCGCACACACTAATTAAAACTCATTTAGTTGATTTGATTGACAGACTAGAATGAGATTAAAATTATCTATGACAATTGGTCAACTGGTGCTGATTTTAAATTAGAATTTTACTGTTGAAAATAATGGTGAAAAGCAAGTAATGCGTTCAAATTCATGCACATTTTGACAACAAACGTTACTTTGAGGAGATGCGAACGTTACGACGTGAACGTTTTATTTTTCAAATTTTGTAGATGAAGCGTCACTTGTCTCATCATGCAGAGAAATGATCTGTCACAATGAACCGGCTGCTTTTTGGTGTCGTGACTTTACTCTTATGTCAGATGTACTGTTTTTGTATCTGGTTCATTTAAGTCTCTTCATGTGGATTTTAAGGTGAAAGTGCCATGAATGGATACAGCTGTCTGCAAGGGAAGAATGTGCCTCAAAACCTCTAAAAACATACACTCAATGTGATCTATGGTGGACGAGGTTTGCTGTAAGTTTCAGCACGTTGAGCTTCTGTTGCTGTTTGAGTACAAATATTAGTTTGGAACAGTACAAGTACAGGACACATTGAGTCAGTGAGAGCTTCCAGAGTACAAAGCTCGTATCTGACTGTGCTGGTTTGAATCACATCGCCTTCATTGCCAAAGTACCTTTTTTTTATTTTTTTGTGCTTTAAAACTGCAACAACTGCTTCTGTCGACATTTGGAAGCAGCGTGATAGTCACTCTCTTTCAACTCTGTTTTTGGTCTCCACCAACTCCTGAGAGAAATAGATGTGTCTTTAGCTGCTAAACGCTCCACTGTGTCTCCCAGCTGTTGGCCAACTTTGTCCAGCTGTTTTGGGTCTTTTTATCTTCTTCGGTGCAAACAGAGTTCCTGAGAGAGGTGAGAGTAAATCGAAACAGGAAAGTCGCGGCCCGGTCAAACAATGGCTGAGGAAGCTGCAAATTCAGTTAATTATTCTTTTTGGGTTCATCCCTTTGAACTTTCCCATTGTTATTTGATCCAGTGCTATTAATCATAGTCCTTGCACAGACTTCTTGTCCAACAGTTGCATTCTCAGTTTGTCGATGAATGCTCAACCTCAGGAGCTACAAGCACGCAAAGATGGACATGGAAGTCACTTTTTATAGTAGCTCGATGCCTCCGTCTGACTCCACTGTGACAGGTCTGTACGAGCTCAGGGAGCAAGACGCTTCACAGCAACGTCTCAAGGCCACACGGGTCAGGGAGAATTTTAAGCACCTATATATCATATGATGGTTTTAGTCAGCACTCTTTTGTTAGTTTTAGTCTAATGTGTGTGCATATACCGTTTCTAAGCACATTTTATTTCAACATGAGCTCAAAAAAACTGCTGCCAGCTTCAGATATTCTAGTTTTAATGAGTCAAAGCCTTTTTGAAACAACATCTGTTCCTCTGTGGTTTTGTTTCTCCTCCCTGTCGGCTTGTACAGGTGTCTGCACAAAGCCTCAGTCCTGCTGCACACACACGCACGCACACACACACACACACACGCACGCACGCACGCACGCACGCACGCACGCACACGGACACACACACACACCATGTTAGTAACACTATGACAAATTTTGAATTGTAGTTCCCACTTAATCTCTCATTAATAATTCACAGTTTTGTATTTTTTAGTGAACTCTTTGTGCAGGTGGAGCTGCAGTATGTTGACAGCAGTGATTAGTGAACTCGCTTCTGTGCAAAAACAGTCTGTTCTTTCCATGAAGAATAATTAGGCTACATTCTGTCCATTGACTTGAAGGACAATCTGTACTTTTTATTTTCCTCTCGATGATACATATCTGTGTAAATATGTATATTTACACAACCAGTAACTTTTGATGAAGTTGTTTCTCAATGATTTGAGACTTCAGGATTAACCTCCTTTTTAAATCACAAAGCCCATAAAAAACTCACACTTGTCCCTAAAACACTTAAATAAATGGAAAAGTAAAGTTTTGTTGTGTTATACCACGTTATGGTATAACACAACTAAAGATTATTTTCAATACCAATAAATTCTTTTTTCTTATTTATAGTTCAATTAAATGTCAAAGTGGTAAAACACACTGTAGATGAAATCTTCAAACTCTCTTGTTTAGTGCATCATTAAAGTGTTTTTTAGATATCTAAAGATATTCATAACAATCTAAACAGAAAAACCCCAGCAACTCTTTCCATTTCATGCTGAATGACTCGATTTATCAATCGTTGGATTAGAGATTGAAGCTGCTGACATTAGTTTTTCATTCTGTGTTTTGAACTAAATATCTTACAATTTGACTGTTTTTAGAATAAATCTAAATAGATTCAAGTACGATTACATGTATTTACCATTTAACTATGTTGGGAGATTAGAATGGAGGACATGTATGTGAACAGTCAACCACTAAGAGGCCAAACCCATTTTTCCTAAAAGAGAATTTTGGGGATATAAATGGGACTATATGGACCACATGCAACCCACAACTGTGACACCTGCGTCACTGGGTTTTAAAAACTAAATGTAAAACTAAACTATGTATTTGTGCGATGTTGTAATTTTTTTTCCCTATATTCTAATTGAGTTGCATTGGCGGCTACTCAAACTTGTTCAGGTTGTTGTGGTTTATGGGTCTGACCCCCGCTCTGCAGACCTGAAAACAAACACACCCTGTTCATTGCTTCCACGAGTCCTGTATTTGAACTGTGTTGAAGCGCGGAGTGGAAGTTGTTTCACGCTTAATTGCAAACACATTTTTAACAAGGATTTGAGTAGAGAGAAAATACCAGTGGTTCTACCCTTTAACATCGACAAAGCACATGAACAATCTGCTCGACTGAAACCTGCTGAAAGCGTGGACGTGGCCAAACGAGCCTCTGAGCAACCGGGTCACTGGGAACACTGGGGCCCTGCCAGCTTTTGTGTAGCGGCTCGCTAAATGTCAGGGGGGGGCATTCTGTGTGTGTGTGTGTGTGTGTGTGTGTGTGTGTCAAAGCCATACACCCTCCCCTCATGTTGCGAGAGGCCCAGTCCTCCACTCCCCCGTGACCGTTGCCTCCCCCCGCTCTCTCTTTTTCTCCCCTCCGTCCTCCTTTTCTCCTTAAACTGTCTTTTGTTTTCATTTTCGTTGGCATTTCTGCTCCGTCGTCGTGCGGGTCCTAAATGAGTCTTGACTGTCCCGCGGGCCATTGGAGAAGCACAAAGGACTTCCTTCTACTCGCTACAGTTGATCCATTGTGGGCGTCCCACAATGCACTAATTGGCGATGACAATTAAGCGTGGTCGACACTCAGCTTCAATTTGCCCGCCGCTGCGACATACATCACAGGCGAGCGATTGAGCCCGCGAGCCCCCTGCTCTCTCAGACAATATGCATATTCGCTCAGGCAGGTTAACATGCACCTTTTATTCACACGGGTCTTTAATTTCATTTTTTTCTCTCTGTCTCTTAGTTTGAGGCCGAGCCCAGAGCGCACGCACATACTCTCAACACGCCCACCGATTCCCGTTAAAAGCAGTCACATAGACGCGTGTTTTACACTTCCATCACTTTCTTCCTTTCTAACAGGCGCAACTTGACACCATTTCGTTTGCCATGTGCGCAAAATTTGAGCCAGTTTGGAAGTTAATTCTTGACCCTTAGGAATCAGCAGTCAATTTCACCACCAGGTCCTTTTAGTAGCTGTTCATGGAAATATTTGAACCTTCATTTGAGTTGTTTGCGTTGGCATGGCAGCAGCTCTGTCAGGCTGCACAGGTTTGGAGCAAAATGCCAATTCTAAAATATTGGCAATTTTAATTTAAACATTCTGTGTATGCAGCTGAATGTGTTCACCATCTTGGTTTAGCGTGCCAACATTAGCTAACTAAAACTAACCCTTCAGCGTTACATGCTTACATAAGCTAGCTAACTGTTACTAAACCTCAATGCTAACTTGAGCTAACTGCCATAAAACCCTGTAAAAGTCAAGCTTTAAGGCAGGAGTGTCAAAGTCATTTCAGGTCCAGGCCAGATACTGCGCACTGTAAGTCAGTTTGACATATGTCAATGAGCCTTAAAGCACATATCAAAATATTAATGTAATAGTTATTGAGATTTTATCCAGAACCACAAATGCATCAAAACCCATTACAACATCAACAGCCATTAGTGTAACTAACTTTAGTGTAACTAAAAAGTCCAGCAAGTGGCTTCACCCCAAATTTAAAAGTATTCCAGCGATCTGCATGCCTATCAGATTCGGTCCTCATGCTCCTGAAGACTGATCCGTCACCGGACTCCAACAAGACCAGCTCTTAAGCTTAGTGTTGCTTGTTGATGTGGGCGACAAGGTGAAGCCGGAAGTGTTCTCCCAGTGAAGTTAGGGGTTCGTCTAACTGGGAATGACGGGTCTGGTCCGTCTGACCAGTTGTCAGAACACTGCAAGCTGTTCTGGAACTTACGAGCGTAATGGCTTTTTCAGAAGGTGGGACTTTGCGGCTTTTTAAGAAGATTGTGATGCGTTGCTCCTGCACTGAGAACTGCTGTGAATTCATAACAATCTAGTTTCATGACGAAGAAATAAAAAGGGCTCAAACTTGCTCTGCTCTCTATGCACATGCTCAATACGCTGCTGAGGTATTAAATACTGTGCACAGGTATCATTTGTAAATAGCGCTGTTCACTAATAAAATCCACTAATAAACTTGGACGAAGGAACATTAAAGCCTCAGAAATGGACCCTTAAGTGCTTCTCCACCCTGACACTCTGCCACACTGGCACTTCTATCAGTTCCTGAATAAATAATCTAATTCATGGAAGAAAAAAAGCAGACACAAGGCTCTATGATGTGTGTTTGAAGTACATCTGGAAGTCAAACTGATTCATCTTTGAAAACAGGTTAAAAAGATAACGATAAAGCTACAGATAACTGTGTAAAAGTGAACCACAACAACACCTGGCGATCGAGGCAGAAGAGAATTAAATTAGGAAACATCACTGTTCCTGTGGAGCCTGGTAGGTCTGTGTTCACTGTTGCAATCATTTAAATGTCTGCGCAGCGGGTTTACATTGAGTTTACCTTTGGGTAGACATGATGTGCTAACGTACCCTGCCAACTCCAGATGTTTTTACGTAGATACGGGAATGTCCTTCCAACCCCTTCGGGGAACGAGTATCGCTTTTACGCAACGTTTAACCACGACAAGCCCCCAATTCCACAAACCAAGATGAGAACATCCCAACCGACTGAGTGGCCGATGCTGTTTGTCAATTAAAGGAAGTCAAAACCAAATGCTGTTGGGCAAACAATGGGAACATTTCCCTAAAAAGCATTCAAACACCATTTACCATTAACAAGTTTGTCTTTATTGGCATCAGTGGTTAGCAGACAAATTTGATCAAAACCAAACAGGAGAATTAAATCAGAAATTCAACTTCCTGTATTTGCATAAGAAGTTCAGCTTCAATTAAAATGATAAAAAAGACCAATAACTTAAAAGTGCAACAGAGAAGAATTTCAGTCCAGTTTATACTCAAATACTGTGCAATATATTCTTGTCCAAATACGTCATGTGAGACATACTGCAATGAGGGAAATGTGCCTGCATCATAAACAAAGACATCTTCATCCCTGTGCACCACCCGCACACACATATCTTAAAACACAATTCAGAGGTTGTCCAACATCATTATTCCAAACCCACGTGGAAACAAAAATTGGCAATATTGTAGGAAGGACAGTAAAAAAAACAAGAACAAACAAACAAAAAAACTAAACACAATCCAGCACGAGTGAACAGACAAACATACGGCATGTAAGAAGCAGATAAACACACACAAGTTTAAGAGTGATCGGATGCAAAGGTCGGCGACGCGGAGGCAGCTTATGGAGCCCAGCAGGTATTTGGGGGGATTTGTGCAGAAATGAATAGCTCATATCCTTTAATAGGATCAATATTCTATATTTTTACTGTTTGATTTGGATGGGTCGTTGTGGCGCAGGGGTTAGAGAAGGTGTGCTGGGAAGCACAAGGTTGGTGATTCGATTCCAGGCTGCCCCATGTTCCATGTCGAAGTGTCCCTGAGCAAGACACCTAACCCCTAATTGCTCCCCGGGCAAAAATGTGAAAAAGCCATGGGTTTAAAGTGAAATGTAAGTTGCTTTGGATAAAAGCGTCTGCTAAATGACCTGTAATGTAATGTAATATGTTTTAATTAGCCTAATAATTTTTTCACCCAAAATAATATTTAAAACTAAAAATGTCAGAAAAACGGTTTATCGAGATTTTTGACACTGTCAATTTTAGGGTAAAAATGAATATAGCTAGATTCCTATTTTATTTTCAACATATTTTACCAGTTACCGGTCTGTGTATTTGTGGATGCAGCTCTACCAGTCTGGCTCCACCAAGTTAGAAGAGGTCATAACTCAAAAAAATTAAAACATGCCGGGTCCCGTAGTAGGAAAAAAATAACATGATTTAAAAAATATATCCTGTCAACGTTTCAAATCAAATCAAATTTCCCGTAAAGGGTTTGCAAGCCTTTCATCAGTCGACAATAACATTACATTTTTAATACCACTTGTATGACCTTCCTGCCATATTGCAAGTTACTCTGGATATTTAGTTTTGGTCAACAGTACTTTACATGCTTCATAAACAGGAATAACTTGTCATATTGATATAAAAAATACTTATTCACGCATAAACCTACTGCATATTACCGCATATTATTCACACATGAATTCCCTTTGAGATTAACATGGTTTATGGCTCAAACGAGTTTGGAACAACAGGATAAAAACAGATTAACAAAAATAAATACTTGAATCGAGGTCAAATCAATCCTTCGGCACTGAGAACGCAGTTTATCAGAAAAGACAACAAATAACAGGAAGAGCGAGCAGATAGAATTACATCCAAATATTACAAATCAAACTCGCTGCAACAAAACCAGAGTGTAGCTTTAAAACACCAATGGAGGCAGCGTTTACTAAAGTGTGTTTCGATTGGCAGAAAAACACTAACTCACAGTATTGGACTTTAAAATCTATCATGTCATTGGTTTTGGAAATCTACTAAAGAAAACAAAATATTTGAAAATTTTTCTAAAAATGTATTTTTGTGCATTAGTAAGCTGATTTATTAGCGTCAAACTTAACTAACGTTTATTTTTCTATTATTTCGGTAATATTTGCCTGAAAACGGAATGGAATCGCAGCTTGCAGGGTGAAGACGACATCCATGTAAAGCATTTCTGGACGTATGAACATGAAAGCAGGGAGATATAAAGGCCATCTAGGTTGCATAGAGTTACTAAAAGCTAAAGCATCCATCGTGTTTGATGGATTCTGCATGAATAAAGCACAACAGGAAGTAGAATCAGAGGAGGAAGAGAAGGAAAAGGCGACGTTACAGATTATTGCCCCAGTCAGACCGATGGAGTGAAGAAAATGTGCTCAGACAGGCTGAGGGGTTTATATTAAAATAACACTGATTCCAAATGAGTGACTTACAAATCTGCTTTCGTTCCACATTTACAAGTTAAATAATAAGAAAACGAGAACTGATGAAAGGTGGATTCCTCTATTTCAATCACAGCTATTATTTATAACTTCTACTTCTATTAACTACTATTAATAGAATATTGTTATTAATGAGTAAAACATCCCAATTTGTTGGCTCCAGTTACATCCCAAATGAACCCAAAGTATAATCAAATATGTTTGGATTGGTTCAGTCACAATAGATTTCATTGCCAACAAGTCGTACTGGTTGAAGTGATCAGAACGTCAAATGAAGCTTATGAAACCGTCCCAGCAGCACAATGTATATGTTTAAAAATAATATTCCCCCCATCTAAAGAATAAGGTGAAGTACATTTGACTATTACAACGAGATGATAACTAAACTATTGTTTCCATATTAATGTTTTTCCTTGATGAATCGCAGGTTACGTCCCAGAATAGTAAAAGACTCATCACCAAATAAATTTAGTCCAACCTTAGTCTATTTTTATGTAAAACGAATAATGTTTCACGTTTGTAAAATATTTGTCTTAGTCTCACGGGTCTCTAAAAGAACTTGACATGCAAACAGGAGACTCAATCTCTATTTGGTGCTCGCAGAATCTTTTTTAAGTGATTGAAACATAATAGTTAAAACTCTTTCGCCCCACAGTGATACAGTGATGGTTTGAGAAGCTTCTATTGATGATCGGAAAACTGATTAAAGGACAAGTTCACTTTTTTTTTCCATGCCTGTCTTAAAATAATCCCCACACAGCGTAATGTGGAGCAGGTTGGTGCTTGTTGTAATCATCCGTTGTTCCTGCTGGTCTTAAAAGATCCGCTGCTGTTACAATCAACCCGAACTTTAGGAAATACTCTTAATTTGACAATGCAGCTGAAAGTTATTAACTTGCAGTGAACTGGATTTAGAAAAGGATCTTTTTAAATGCCATTATGAACAGAAGGAATTATTATATTTTGTCCCATTATTGTTTCAAGACAGACCTGGAAAAGAATGTGCAGCTATACTTTAATATTTTCATTTCAAAGACAAAAAAAGATCATTATGCCAAGATTAGATTATTTTGTTTGACCAACGGTCAAAAGCCAAAAGGGGAAGAAAAAAACAGATTCTCCACATGAATTGTTAAAATTGTCAATACATTTTCTGTTGTTTTTCTAATGGTTTTATCACTGAACTTGTGCTGGAAGACGGTGCTTAAAGTCTCCCGTTCATCAGCTCATCACGGAGTGAAAGTAGTGAAGCAGTAAAAGGACGTACATGACGGACCAGCACGGCCTTGACGTTTGATCACAAAATACTGCTGCAGTGGAACCCAGTTGGTTTACTTCCTGCTCTTCACTGTTGTCAGTGTGAGCTCAGTTGTGTGCGTGTGTGTGTTAGCAGGTACACACACAGTAAAACACAAACCTGACCACGCGCCAGGCTCTCTGAACTCCAGACACAGAACCCGTCCTGCGGTCTCGCCGTATTCAGAATAACAGGCACTTTGTCCGGCGCCGTGGCCTGGCAGCGCTCCGGATGGGGCGCGTCTCAGGTGTTCTGGTAGGGCAGGTGAAAGCACCCGGGGCCGTCGTCCTCGTCGTCGTCAGGTGACCAGAAGGAGGACGGCCTCATGTGGTGGAGCTCTCTGCGAACGCAGCGAGGACACGGCTGCGCTTTCTGCCGACACTCTGCGTGGAACACGGCGCCGCAGACGTCACACCTGCAACCACGGAGATGAGCACACAGGTCGGTCATCTGCGCGCGCGTGTGTGTGTGTGTGTGTGTGTGTGTGTGAGAGGAGGCCATCGTCACAAGACTGCATCACACCTCTGCTGTTGACAAAAAACACTTGACAGAAATAAATACTAAAAGTTGAGAGCTCAGAAAAACAACCACTAAATGATGCTGATGTTACGTTTATTTTTACCCGAGCAGAACAACTGCAGGAGTTGTGTGAGAGGTTTTCTTATAGTTTTAATATTGTTGAACGCTTTTTGGATTCTCCTTTCAGCGGGACGCGTAAAAGAAGCCCCGTTCTCTTTAAGAACCGAAGGTGAAGTAATCCTTTTAAGTATTTAAAGAGTACTCCTTTGCAGTGCTCATTTAATCAAAAAAACAAAAATATATAATATTTAACGAGCTAACCTGCCTGTATTTGACAAAGTAAATAAGTCATTGCTCATTTCCTGCACCGCCAGGATGGGACCAACTGAGTCAACAGCTCCACTCACTTCCAATCAGCACAGCAGAAAGAGCTGTTAATGGCTACGACTCCGCACTCCCTTCACAACTCAACGATGGGGGTGTGCTCGTGATGAGGGGGGGGGGGTCTTATCGCTCCGCTGTCTGTCACGAATGGAATGAACGCGCTCTGTCATGCCGAGCAGTGTGACAAACACACTGCAGATGCCCGAGTGCAGGACTAGAGTTCAGCTTATGCTGCTCACAGCGTTGCAACAAGGCAACAAAATACTGAGCAAAGTCACCTTTTTTTAACTCAAGTACTGTACTTCCTTTTTGGTATTCCTTAGAGTATATTTAATTTTACTAGAACTTCTACTTTGTTCGTGGTGCCAGAGGGAGTCAAACGGTTTGAACAGCATGAGGCGGGTCGGCGTACGAACGTCAGTATCTCAGCACAGGGGGGGACGCGCTGCACTCTGTCCTCGGCAGCGCACCAGATGGGGGGGGGGGGGGGGTGTCAAAGGGTAAAAAAAGATAATACGAGGCCATGAACAAAATCACATAAAAACTTGTTAAACTGTGTGTTAAACTTTTGTTAAACGATATCATATTTTTCCAGTACAAAAGAACATTATGCCATAAATGTGTAAAAAAATAAGTCGTAGATATCAAAAATGTAATAGTTGGTCACAAATGTCATATGGAATATATTTTAAAAAGTATCACGGTACACTCTGTGTCTCTCTATATGTATTGTATAGTTTGTCTCGAAGGTTTTGTATGAAAAATGCACATTATAGTTTGCTATTACAAAATGAAGTCATAATATAGTACATCACAAAACATTTCACAACAACTGTGAAAGTACATTATGTAAGAAAAATATGTAATGATACAGTATGTCATTAGAAATGTCATTAAAAGTCAAAGTGATATGTAGATTGTCAGCGGCAACAAAGTCATCGTAGATTATAAAAGTCTGACACCGTATAAAAATAAAAAATACGAGTAGTATACGAATAGTGTACGAGTAAAAATATCACAGAAATATGTCACGAAGAACATCATAATGTTTTGTATGTCAGACAAAAATGTAAGAAAAGGTCATGGTAAAGCCATAACACATGAGACACAGCCACAGTGCAGTACTTCATCAAGATTATCATAGTATAGCACCTTCCCAAAAATGTAATGAAAAGTAATAGTAGCCATTTAGCAGCGAGGCTTTTGACGCTTTAACGTACGGACACCATGTTTTACTTAGGATTTTAAAAGCAGTTTATCTGCAAGTTAGTATTTCTGCACTGTTGCGTAGCTACTTCGCCTTAAGTAAGAGACTGAAGTACTCGTTGACACTAGTGACACCAGTGGAAACGGCCGTGTTACTGTGGATAAACCACGGACTCACTGTTGTCTCTTCCAATGGAAACTGTTCACACCATAGTCTTTGTTTCTGCAGGAAGACATTGACTTTGGGCCTGGAGATAAATGGAGCTACTAATAAAGACGTGGTGCCTCAATACTGGAGCCCTTCACTTAAAGATGTTTAAACTTAAAAAAAAAGTGCATCCTCAAAGTGTTTAATGCCACTTCACAAATATAAAGAGTGAGTATGTATGTATGTATTTTTAACAAGGTGAGTTTTTGGTCCATATTGCCATGATCGCAGCGGTCAGCTGCACATCTATGATGAATCTCCTGCTCCACCTCGTCCCAAAGTAGCTCTACTGGACTGAGGTGGTGACTGGAGGCCACTAAATGTTACTTACATGGCTTTACGTCAACATATTTGTTGGGGGGGGATTCTGAAATCTAAAAATGCCATTACAAGTGTTGTGAATGTGACTTTGAAGAACACTGAACTCGATCTGCATCTTGTAGAATATATTTTTCTGAGCGCTGTGGTAGTGTCAATATACAGTATTTAATAATAATTTGACAGCCTGACAAAGATGTCAGAGTAATTGAATTCACTAAAATCTATTCTTCTCCGACCTTTTCCCCTAAATCAAGTCTCATCACACCAAATAAAACCAACCGGCGAAGCGGTGAAATGTGCAGAAGCGCTATGTGAGGTACCTCTTGGTGGCGCTCTCCTGGAAGGGGTAGATGACCTGTTCGTTGTGGCACAGCTCACAGATGAAGCCTTTCTCTCGACACAGACTGCAGCTGAAAACGTGGGCGCTGGCAAACTTGATCACCTTGGACAGGAAGGGAGCCAGCTTTCCATCGATCACCTGCAGGGGGAGGAGAGGGAGGGCGAAGGGGGCGGGGTCAGCAGCAACAAAGACATTATAGCGGCATCAGCTGTCCGCGATAAGGTCCACGTGGGTCTGAGCCGGAGAGAAATATGAAACTCTCAAGTGTTGCTTAAAGAATCTACTTCAGAGTGGGACAGACTTGCTCAAAGCCTTGAAATCATCCTGTCTTTAGTACAGTTAAATTCAATAAACTCGCTCCAAGGAAGTCAAAGGAAGAGGTCCATGCATGACGTTTTCATCGATTGTCATTTGGAATGATGATTGTTGTTGTTGGGAAATCTCCATCAATTTGTAGGTTTTCCTTTTTGCATGTTCTTTTTTTCTTCTTTATATCGTGAACATTTGCATATTCCGAAACTTTCCAGCTCTTCATGGAAGTGGCACCATGCAGGGGAGGAGGGAAACGCGACCTTATGGTGATGACCTTTGAGATCAGTTAAAAGGGCTTTTTAAGAGATTGAATCATTCAAAGGCTTAGTGACTAAAAGAGAGAAGGAATTGTCTTTGGCTTCAAGGAGATACTGGAGACAGGAGGAGAGGGAAGGAAGTAAGGCAGGAAGGAAGGAAGAAGGAAGACGGCACATGAGGGCAACGCCTTCTGACGGCAACGCCCTCAGTCCCCCTGAGAAGTGAGGCGGGGTCTTTGGCGGCGAGGGGCTGCGGTTGTATTGTACCGAATGGACGGAGGATGACTGAAGAGGAAGAAAGGTTGCATGAAAAGAGTCTGCCGTCGTGGAGCGGCGTCCCACAGAAGCAGAAAACGGAATATGGTCGCGTCATTGTGCCGCGTTAATAACGCCGTGCATGTGAGACAGCGAGTACGAGGCTGGAGAAAGACTGTGGCACAGATACAATATACAAGAGAGATCTTGAGAGAGAGCGAGAGAGCCTGTATTCAGATACAAGTGGTTCCACCTGGCAGAGCCCTGGACCTCCCAATTATAACCTCCTTCATGCTGCTTGTTACACGGCGAGGAGAAGAGGAGGACTAGATGGAGAGAGGAGGAAACACGGCGCGATACGGATCCTGTTTACGGCAAAACACAGACGGAGACTAACGGCAATCACTGACGCGGCCCTCAAGTACAATGTTGACATGAAGTGATCCGTGTCAGAACAACATCACGGTCATGTATTAGAGCCAAGCTCACTAATTACATGATATATTCCAGTCAGCCTCGGACTCCACATTTACAGAAAAACTGATTAGTGGCCAGTATTAGTCCAGACCAAGAGGCCCGAATATTATTATATGGCCAGAAGCAATCAATAACATAAATCACAATAGCTGTTTTATGGTAATTATATTAATAAATAGCCTAGATAATATAACATATAATGTTAATATGTAAGACAATGTTAATGTTTATAACGTGCACACAACAGTTCAGACAAACATTTATTTACATTGAGAGTGATCATGTAAAGTGTGACAAAAACGTATGTTCGCTCCGAATACTTAATTCTTAATACCGTCAATCATTCCATTGTGATGTGGTTCCATTGCAATGCGATGAATTACCAAACTGCCCATCTGTTTTCTAAATGACATCAGAGATCCAAGCGGTTCCATGTGGAGAGCAGGTCTGTTTGCCATGTTGATGAAACAACTGTGCGACCACAGGGTTGGTCCTCGTCATCTTCATTCAGAGCTATGACGCCGCAGAGCTACATCCATTAGGCAGCTGACAAAGAACTGCTCCAACAATGAGACAGTAGCGTCTCGCGTCCCTTGAAGCTCTACTTTTTTCCGGGATCTCAAGCTGCTGAATCCCCGATGCTAAATGTGCATTCCGGGCCCTCGATTAGGGATCCATTCTATTAAAGCTGCCTTAATAATATCATTTCTACTCCTCAACAGGTGAGTGCAACAGTGTCATCAGTGAGCAAATCCTTCTGTGTCTCGTTCACAAACATCACTGTGTGACGACAAACGATGTCCGTAGCGCAACGGGGACGTTCTGGTAAAGGTGTACTCGGGCTTCGACGTTATGTTGAGCGATGCTGTGCTAACACAGGCTAGGTGTGCTAGCCCGCTAACCTACGCACACTGGTGTGCCGTCCCCACAGATGTTTCGCTGGGGAGGAAACGCTTCATTACTGCCGCACGCCGAGGCTGTTTTGTTTTAAAGTAAAACGGCACATTGCATCTCCGCTCAGCCCGGTCCAGCCCGGTCCACATGACGAATGGCTCCCCTGATGGAGGCCGACAGCCTCCGTAATTACGGCCCTCTGTAATTGGACTGGGCAGAATCAAACGACTGGCAGCGCAGTGGCTGCTGGGTACTCCAGAGGGGCGGGGGGGGCGGAGATGGAGGGCGGCACAGGAAGATGGATGGATGAGGAGTGACGGAGGTGAACAGAAAAAATACGTATTGCACACGCGTGAAGCCTGGACGCCATCGTATGTTATAGAGCGATGAAAAAAAAAAAAAAAGAACTTCCCCGTGGTAACATCACATTTTATTTTTACATTAAAAGAATCTGCCGCGCTGCCGGCCACAAATAACCGCTTCAGGTGCGACTCCGAAGTGCCAACGCCCAGACGGGTCACACGGGGACAATCAATCAGGCAGGAACCTCATTTCAGCCCCATTCGTTTGGACACTTGCTCGCGTCCCACAGAAGCAACAATGAAGTCAGGTATTGAGGGCCCCCTGAAGACCCCTCAGGGCTCCGCGAGGAGTTCAGGGTGGGCCGGCTCACTAACGTCTCGCCCCACAACAGACTGTTGACATGTGGACTCTGCATAGCGATTGGAGTCTGATGAGGGGGCTGGCAAAGGATAAAATGGGGTTCTGAGATGATTAACAGGATGAGAGAAAATAAATATCAAAGACACATTCTGTTTGACTAACTTCCTCTAACTTGTAGTTTTCTCCTGGGTGGTTTTATATCTTCAGTTATCTAAAAGGATTCAAGGATTCAAATCTCAAAGAATGAAAAAAAGCTCAATGGTGGCAGGTTGCAAGGAGAAAAATCAATACAACCAAGTAGTTTGTGGAAGTATTTGAAAAGAGCTTCATCTCTGATTGGGTCAATGTGACTGTGGACTTCGACTTCAAAAGCATGAGCAGCAGTACCAGGATTAATGAAATAAGACTCGAGACTCTCGCACTCGCTATATGATTGTGGAGCATAGGACGGGACAACCCCCCCTCAACACACACACACACACACACACACACACACTCCCTCCATCCTCTTTAACTCCTCCCCCTCCAGTTCAACCTCTTTTTCTGCTCCATGCGGAGCCTTTGTGCCCAAAACCTCCTAATCCCCTAAAACTGCTGTTTAACTCTTTGTCTCTCGATAGACTTGAAGTACGTTGATTGTCGGTGCCTAAATGCTGCGGTCTGCACACAATTCTTACTAAGCATCCATTTGACATATTTGTTTTGTATTTTAGAATCCCTAAATATGAGTCTATGCCAAGTGATAAATGAAAAGCAAACATTTTCTGTTCAAAGTTAAATCAAATAACTAAGAGCAGAAGACTCCAACATCTGGAAGAATGAAAAAAAATAGCTAAATTTAAGTAAATTGCAGCTGTGTCACGTTAATGAGAGTGTGTGTGTGTATTGAAGTGGACTCGGAGGACTTAAATCACGGGGAGCAAGTTAACTCACGGGGAGCAAGGGGTAAATATCCGTTGCCCAATTTCCAGGATAATGATGATGAATATTTGATCAAACCACATAACTAACATTTGAGGGTAAAAGCTTCTTTTAAACATTTACTTAAGAGGCCTCTGTGTGTCTGAACTAGTGTGAGTGGACAGGCATGCCTGGCATAGAGGGAATGCCAGAGTATCACTGTGGGAAGCCTGCTGCACACACACACACACACACACACCTACTTTGCTACTACTTTAGTCCTCAGACAAAACCCTAGAAACAATCCTTAAAACCAGCAGAGGAAGAGGGCAGTGTCCTTAGACAAACACATATGTTTTCTCCAAACCAACGGGCTCCTAATGGGGGATCTGGGTGGAGGCTATTTGTGGAGAGGTGAATAGACTTAGTGTGGTCCAGGGTTTAGCCGGGGGAGTTCAGCCTCCACTGACCTCTGAGCCGCAACAAAAAAAGCCACGTTGATTAAGAGCGTCATTTTATTCAGGAGGTGAATCAAAAGAAACAAGCTTGTTAATATGGAAAACCAATTAAGGGACAGAGTGCTTGAGAATCTCAGAGAGAGAGAGCGAGAGAGGGGAGAGATGGGGGAGGTTAGTGGGTGGGGGGGGGGAGGAGTGGTGCAGTTGCTGATTATTGTTGAAATTAGTGTTAAATCCCTAGTTTGGCGTTTATGAGTGAACCACAGATTTTAGCAGCGAAAGAGACACACGCAGCTTGTCGTGCGTGTGTCTCTTGTGTCTCAGCTTGTGCGTGTGTGTGTGTGTGTGTGTGTGTGTGTGTGTGTGTGTGTGTGAGCGAGTGAGGCCACGGGGATGTTGGGAAGAATGGAGGGATGTCACGCTTTGTTTTTCTGCCTGTTGATTCTGAATGTAACCAATTAGTGAAGCAGAGAGACACAGAGTGTGGGAGTGGAGGAGGAGGACGAGGAGGAGGAGAAGGAGGAGGGGGGAGGCGAGGAGGGGAGGAGGTGGGGGGGGGGGGTCCAATCCCTTTCACTGTGAGAGTCCGTGGCTCTGAGTCACAGAAGGGGGGGATTTGAAAGAAGAGGAAAAAATGGGGCAGGGTGCTACATAATGAACATAATGACAAACAAAAGAACTTTTCAGTCATTTGTGGCCGCTTTCCTCTGACCCCCAAACTCTGCTCGAGGACTAGATACTGGAGCGCTGAGAGGCCAGGCCGCTTTCCTTTTTTTAATGATCACTGCTAGAAAAAAAAAAGAATTTGTCTACTTTCACGTTAAACTGAAGATAGTGAAGTTGTGAACAGTTTGGCCGGCGTAACTGGAATCCCGGCTGGTGGAGATGCGCCGTGTGAGAAGAAACCATGCACATTACACCAGCTGCAGTTTTAAAAAGGTATGAATTCCTTCCGGGGACACCGTGGTTTTCGTGGATCAGGACACTGTTCTAAATAGGGGCTATTGGAGGGTGGACCTCCTCTTATCGCTGTTACCACACGGGCTCGTACCACAGAAACAACGGAGAGGCTGTAAACCACATAAGGCCAGCAGCCTTCTACAGATATGTAGAACAATATACAATAACAGCATGTCTCAGTATGTTCTGTTAAATTAGCCACGCTGCTGTCTACTACGACATACTTTTCAATCTTTTCTCTTAAAATGGCAATACATACAAGACAGAATATTGATCTAAATGTTTCATATGAAAGAAGAACTGAGCCTCGGGTATGAGGTCTGAAACAAAAACCATTTGCTGCTTTTGGCACCGGTTTTTAGTTGCCGTTAAGACACGTGAACGGCATCTCTGCCCCTGTGTACATACAAGCATGCAGGCGTGTGTGTTTACCTGCTGCAGGTCGGCTATGGAGTACAGGTGGATGTGCTGTAGCAGGTACTCCCGGGGGAAAATCCTGGGAAAAGACACGAGAGAAACGCCTTGAAACGTCAGTCTGTGCGAAGCAGGTCGTGTGTTGCAAATTCCTAAACACACAGGAGTCATACGCACTCCATCTTCAACATTATGTGACAAAACAGACACAAGTGTGTGTGTGTGTGTGTGTGTGTGTGTGTGTGAGACCTCCTCTGAGACCACTGAGATCTATGGCACCATGTTAAAGCCTGTCTAAGCTGTGATGAGTGTCACCAAAAGTGTGTGTGTGTGCGTGATGCAAACGCCCCATGGTGACAGGCCCCTCTGATAAACTGCTCTGTTAGGCACGTTACCAACGGTTACCACATCAGCACTCACAAGACCACAAACAAACACGCACACACACACTTATAATCAAACACAGACCGGAACACAGAACGAACACCTTTTAGGATTAGATTACAACTGATAGATACACCGTTCATGCTCATATGCAAACAAATGATAATAATTGCATGACTTGATAGTATTTAATTCCATATTTCACTTCTTTCCTCTGTGAATTTCCAGGGCAGAAGACACACCTTTGATTCACATGTTGTTCCCACTCTGTGATTGTGATGGTGGACTAAAGGAGGGACTGTGAGGTCCTGCAAATATATGTGTGTGTGTGTGTGTGTGTGTGTGTGTGTGTGTGTGTGTAGGGGGTGGAAAAAATAAACACATTTCAATCTAATGCAAACATCTTATCTTTGTTAAACATATCGCGTGTGTGGACACAGTGTCATGGTTAAAAAAAAAAGTTTCCGAATGCTGAAAGTTGTTAATGTCTATATTGATCGGATAAGTAGGACGGTCCCGTGTAGATAATTTACTACATTGTGAGCTCTTACCACTACAAGTATTACTACTAGTATAGACAGTACTACCTCCTACAATCACAACTTAATCTACCCAAACCTCAACCAGCGGGTAAAACTTCAAAACCAGCAAAAAAACAAACAATAAACCACTTTAGACACACCCAAAACCACCTTGTCTATTCCATCAAAGACTGTAAAGACGTACTAACACCACAGAGACCAATAACTACACCACAACATACAACCAGACCCGCCCAAAAGGATTCACCCAGAAACGGTGGAGGCACAAAGGCGTCATAGCGAGGGATGTTTTCTTTTCGCATTTTCAACTAACTACAACATTTTGCATGCTGAGATAATCATTCAGCAGAAAAGGCTAAATAAGTTAAACCCTCACATGAAAGAGAAGATGCATACACACCTTAACAATGGCAAGACATAAAATAAAAATCAGTACATGAAGAAGATCAGGTCCAAAACAAAACGGATAGTCACCCGACATTTACTAACACCGTGGCAAACGCGACTAATCATCAGGCCTTTAGAAATACCAGCAGGGATTAATGCCAAGGGACGACCTTGGGGGAGGCCATTGTGTTTATCCCGAGTGTGCGACCACAGCGCTCCAAGCAGCGGATGGCTCGAGGCAACGGCCCCTTTAGCAACGACTAACGCGGGACCTCCCACGGGAACCGGGGGCCACGGCCGCAGGCCTTCTACAAGTCCACGACTCGACTTCAGACCGGATGCATAAACTACCATAATCCCCCCCAAAAGACCCTGTTGGGGAAAGATCTAGAGGCCGGGACGGAATTCACATTGCTCCTCCAGAAGTCCGACAATGAGCTGGTGTCGGCCAGCCGGGCCTCGGCTTGCTGGAACGGGAGGTGGAGAATCTGTCCACAGGACAACTATCATCTGTCCTCTACGGAAGTGGTGCAAGATGAAAGCCGCTGCTGAAAGTGAACCATAGGAAATCCCGTCTGGAGTTTGCAAAAGCCGCGTGGGAGACACAGCAAACATGTGGAAGAAAATGCTCTGGTCGCATGAGACTAAAACTTTTTGGCCTCAATGCAAAAGTCTGTGTGGAGGAAACCCACCACTGACCATCACCCTGAGAACACCACCCAGCAGGGAACATGGTGGTGGCATCATGCTGTGAGGACGCTTCTCTTCAGCAGCTACAGGAAACCAGTCAGGGAAAGAGCGATGGAGCCAAACACAAGGCGATCCTTGAAGAAAATATGATGCCGTCTAAAAAGGACAATGACCGTAAACATGGAGGCAGAGCTACAATGGAAAGGCTCAGATCAAAGCATGTTCATGTTTTAAAGTGCTCCACGCCTCAATCCAATTCAGAATCTATGGCAAGACTTGAAAATAGCTGTTTAGACGCTCTCCATCCAATCAGACTGAGCTTCAGCTTTTTTGCCAAGAATGGAGGAACATTTCTCCTGATGTGCAAAGCTGGTGGAGACAAACCCCAAAAGACTTGAGGCTGCAATCGCAGCAGAAGAGGGTTCAAGTGTTGACTGAGAGGGCTGAATACTTGTGCATCCAACGGATGCAAACTTTTATGTTCTCATTATTTGTGTCACAATAACATGTATTTTGCACCTTCAAAGTACAATGCAGGATGCACGTACAACATTACATTTTAAAAAATGTGCCAAAAACAATTAACTAGTTTACTGAGATTAATTCATACATTGACCAAACTTCAAAAATAATAAAACGCAGCTTTAATACTGCATACGAGTCAGATCAGATTACTTTGCAAAGCGTTTAAAGATGTACCCCCATTATAGAAGTGCTGTACAGGCCCAGAAATATAGTGCCCTCTAATTTACAGACTGTGGCCGTGTGGTTTTGTGTGCGATTGTGTTTCCATGGCTTTCTGCATGTATGCAACAGACATCTCCATTCAGACCCCCCCCCCCCGCCCGTCCCTGAAGTAGACTGATGACTAGAGGAAGGTTTTAGCGCCACAGTCCTCATCAATCCTGCAGTGTTTGGAAGTGGCGGGGCACCAGCCGGCACTCGCTAATGGGGCAGGAGTAAACACAGAGGGGAATGATGCCGCTTGTCTCTGGCTCAACAGGCTACGGCTAACATTCACGGCTAACATTCAGGGCTAACATTCAGGGCTAACATGGGCTCTTGGTGTGAAGCTACTTGGCAGGTCAGAGAGAAAAACATTTGAAATAGCTGGAAATTAAAACTCTCATAAAAGACCAAAAATAGAGATATAATTAACCTTTAGTCTGTAAAGACTGCTTGGTGAAAATATTATTTATTGTTATATGAGGTAACTGAGGGGTATAAAAAAACTCAAATGACAGAAATAGTAGGACGATATAAAGTAAATAAAGATTAAAATATAGACTTTGCAAAACAGTCATTATTACAATTAAATATACTATCTAGATTCTCCTTTTAATTGCATGACCAAGTGCTGTAAGCGTTAACAAAATTACAGTGACAGATCTCTTTTGGCAATATTTTTCTACCATTTTCTTAAATGGAGATTTTTGTGGGGAAAGCGTTCTTATAAAAATACATTAAAACATGTACTATATTTCTTCTCAGTAACAACGTTCACATTACGATGAATAATCCACACACCTGTCTATGAGCAGTTGTCTGTATTATATTATTATTTGCGTGGTCAGATAGCGTTGCTGGTGGGTGAGAAGCGATGCGCCGTGCAGATGATCATGACCGAGTATTAATTAGATCCTGTCTGCTGAGGTGGGTGCTTCTCCTTTAGAAATAGTTGTCTCAGAGTGTCTTAGTGACCATTAGTGGAGCAGGACAGGGAGCATCCATCAGCTCACAGACAAGGCTTTCAGTGTGGGATCCTGCTCTGATAAACAGCCCCCCCCAACCCGATCATCACACACATGAACATGTGCACACACAGGCGCACTTCCTTTACGTGTATGCAGCCTATACACAGACAGGAATGCATGCAGATAAAAGTTATGGGGGTATACATGCGTGCACTCAGACACACACATGTAAACACGGATCATACGGGGAGATGTTAACAGTCTATGAAGTCAATCAATCAGCTGAGGAATAACAACAGGGCATACGTCAGTGATGGCAGCTTGCTGATGTTAAATAATAGTAGTATATGCATGGCAAATAACTTTTAACATCTTAAAATGTGTGTTTTAGCTGGATTTGGGTACATTTTAGAGCCAACACCCAGGGAATATGAACGTCCCTTTGGTAGGTTACTTCCAAACAGACAACATGACAAAGGCTGAACCTCTCTGGGCTTCTGCAGATTAGCTTTCATTTCATTTCAGTGGAATTACAAGAGTCAATGTCCCATCCAAACGTCTGGGCTCCTTGACGGTTCCCTACTGTGCAGGTGAATAGGTATCATCTTTTAAATCTACATCCCATTTTTGATCAGTAAAAGATGTGTGTTGAGAGCCTGAACGCTGCTCCGCCACCACAATAGACCTCCTCCGCCGGCCTACCTCCGCCTGAGGTCCTCGGCGACGGTTGCCCGGCAGCTGAACAGGTAGGCGCGCAGCGACTGGAGCTGCTGCCGGAGACGCAGCACCGTGCTGAGAGGCTCACAGTGCTCGTACAGACAAGGGTTGAGCTGCTGGACGTCCAGCAGAGGCTCCTCGTACACAAACTCCAGGAACTCCTTGGCCTGTTTGGAAACCTGGAGGAGCACATCAGAGTTTCCGTCAGCAGACCAGCGGGATGATGCTGTATGTCCTGGGATTATCGCCACATGTTGGGAGAGACGGTGGAGGTTTTCACGTGGTGTCGCTTGTGTATGTGTGTGTTTTCCCACCTTGTGCCTACTGGTGTCCCAGTTGTGCAGCAGACGTGCTGGGATTAGGAAAGCGTTGTCCTGATGGCAACTCTGGCAGTAGTACCAGCCGCTGTAGAAGCAGACCTTCGCTTTTCCTTTGGAGAGGCCGACCGGACGCTGACACCCTGAGGAGAGAGTATGTGTGTCAATAAACAAAAATGACTGTTATAGCAGAACCGTATATAAAAACAACTATTGCATCACTGCCCTCTGAATGACTTAATGACGGCCGACCTTTGAATGTGACCTTTAGGAACAGCTATAAACACGTCCTTTACTTGCTGACCAATTTTAGACTAAATATAAGGCTCCTGTATTATTGTGGCATGGATCTATTTTTAAAGGTCAGGACTCTTTCCACAAATCTAAAAGTGATGTTTCCTGTGGAGGAGTGCATGAATGCAATTTCATCGTGGTAATTATATTCTGGAGATGCTGAGAATATCAACACCAGAACTTTTGTTTTTTTGGTTCAAGTCCAACAGATTCTAATGAGTCCCACTGCAGAAGACGGGATCAGGAGAACTCAAAGGTTGGAGAGCAAATCACTCGGCTTTAATGTGCGTCACTTTATTGCCCCTCACTAAATACCACACTAATCCAGCCGAGTAAACCTGCTGATAATAAACAAGATAGTCAGAGTTTAAAAAGGCACTCGGAAGATAACGTTGCATCATGGCAGGTGTCACCTTGACGAAATACCTGAGACAACTGATTATAGTGCACTGACAACAGAGATGTTGAGAAATGCTTTGATGGACGCGTTTCTTAAGATCAAGTGTAGCAGGGGTGTCAGACCCAATTCAGCTGCAGCCCACTTGAACCCAACACGGGCCAGACCATTACGGTCGACGGAAGGGGGGGGGGGGGGGGGCGGCGCTTGATGGTCCGACCGACCAAGTTTGAGACCCCTGAAGTGTAGGATCTCAAACCTGTTATTGACCGTTCACAGGCGATGCACACAATACAAAACAACAGATTCTTTCAACTTTTATTTGCTCCTCAATTTTAAAACTATATTCAAGCCTGCTGCATTGATCTTCCATCCAGGCAGCTGGATGTGGTGATGTTTGAGGAGTGCATAGCTTACGTTGACTGCCGATGATCAGCACTCTCATCGCAGTTTGTACATTCTGGAGAAGCATCTTCTGATATTAATCTCCATGTTTGCCCAAATCTACATGCCTCTCCCTTCAAGTGTTATCTCAGAGCGCCGGCTCTTCAAGTAGTCACAACACAGCCCACTTCAATGAGAGGGCGTTCCGTGGAGCTGAAAAGGCCAACAGATCCTCGGCTCCATTCAGCCCCACGCCGTCCCCACTGCCGGCTTTGTCTTCCCCACCTCTTTAAAGTTCGCTCCTCGCCCAAACACCCGGAGCTAATCTACGACCCCACACACACAGACACCTGAGCGCACCGCCCTGCGACAGGTGTCCCCTATCCAGCCACCGTTTATCTCGGGTTTGGAGGACGCGGCGCTGCAGAGAAGACAGACGGGCGAGGGAGGAAGGGAGGCGTGTGTCAGCCTGTCGCTCCGCGGTGCTTCAGAGCGAGCGCGGCGCACAGCGACACAAAAAGGGGGAGCGGAAAAAAACAGGCCGAATGAGTAAACGGCTATTGAGCGACGAGAGGGACGACGGGATTGCATGAAAGAGAAGAGCCAGATCAAACGAGGACGGATGAAGGGCGACAATAAAAGGAAGAAAAAGAAGTCAGGTCAACTACTTTCATACCGTAGACGAGGATCTGATGTCTGACAAAGACAGGCGGTGGTCTTATCAGCACCGAGAGCGGCTTAACCCGCTTTGAGGTTTGGAGCCTCGACCAGTCACGAATTCACCTCGATAAATTCCGATATGTGGAATCGGAGACTGTTCCTAGTCTGAGCGGGATTAACCAATCACATTGGAGCAGGCTACTGTCGGTGGAGAGGCCGAATATATTAGCTGAAAGGTAATCTGGGAACCCCTTGAGCTGCTGATTGATGATTATTGATTTTTGATTTGATTTGAAGCATTTTATTTCTTGAACATGTAGACACCAAATAATAAAAAAATTTAAAAATCAACATAGACGTAGACCACAAAATGAGAAAATACACCTTTTGTTCAAGAAAAGGAGTAGTGATTAATCCTTTGTTGATGGGGGCGTGTTCAAATGGTTTCATTTTTATGACCAATGGTCACAAACCTGGTTCCAGTTTATGGCAATTTTCTATGCATGTTATTGACATTAATCTGCTGATCGCTGCAGGCTGAGGTTAACAGGTACTGCATCGTGAGTAGAAAGACATCGTAGTGCAGAAACAACCAGTGAGGACGTTTGGGAACACACGCCGTCTGACAGTTTTCATAAAAATAGCGAGGGTCAGATGAGTCGTCAGCTGATGACAGTGACGCTGACTCAGCAAACCCTCCCCCCCAGTGACAGGACCCTCGTCTCGCCTGGTTTCCTCTGGGATCGGGTTAGGTTTCCTCCTTAACTTTATATATTATATAAACATTTTTCCAGAGGAAAAAAGCGTGGCTTTATTGAAGGGCCGCGTCAAATCCCCCGTTTTCATTGCCTTCAACGCTGCATAGTTTGTTTATTTCCCTTTGGCTGGAATAAGAGGGAAAACGGCAGCATCTTATCTGAGTGAAGGACCTGTGGTCAGAGACACATTTGCAGGCCAGTTACAGCACTGAGCTCATGCTGTTGTTGGGGTGGATGCTCTTTCCAGTAGGAACCACAGTCCACTGGTTGGGAGCCAGCCGGGCCGAGGGGATGGTCAACAGTCGGGGAAACACCGTGTCACTTCGAGGAAAGAGCTGACCACCGGCCCGGCGCTCGGGCCAACCGTGGCCTCCGCTGTGGTCCGCCGCCATCGGGACCAGAGGAACAAAGACACATACGCATGTGGCCTGCAGACATCTGCCAACTACATAACAATCTTTGACCGTAACCTCAAATTCTATATTATGAGACGAGAAGAGAACATGCGCGCGCACACACACACACACACACACACACACACACACACACACACACACACACACACACACACAGACAGAGGTAAATGCTCGGTAGTGTAAACAACTACAGCAAAAAGACTCAACAGATATAAGATACAACACCAAGCATGACCTGAGAAAATAAACTAAATGAGCGGGAAAACAACCCAGAGAACGAATAGTTTGGTATAAATTGTAATGGTATAAACATATAAACACGCTGTGTCCTCTTTATTGGGAACACGTGTAGAGTTTAATGGGATCTAATACTCTAATGCTGTAGTCTTTTTGTAATAACTCGCCAAAATATCAAATCTGCATTTTGTCATTATGTGCTGTGTTTTGAGAAAGCTCGAAGACAACATGCAGGAAAAGCTCCCGCGCTTCGTAAACAAACGGTTACATTTTGCAGGGTTTATTACAAAATGCGGACTTCTAATACAGCCATTATGCAACGAAAAAACCAAAGCGGATCTCTTCTCTTCTTGTCTCTGATCTCTCATCGGCCTTTTCTGGGATGAAGAAGAAGCGGGACACAGGGAGGACATGAATGGGAATTCAAACGTAGCTCAAAGGTCTAGCGATTGTACCGCGGCTCTCTGTAGTGAGGGAGGGTCACTTTGACCTGCCCGGGGTGAGCGTGGAGGGGGGGGGGAGAGAGAGAGAGAAACATCAGGGGCAACAACAAAAAAAGGGCCTCACGCTTTCATCTGCCCGCCGCTGGTTTTAAACAACCACACCTCGGCGTGAGACACTGTGTGTGTGTGTGTGTGTGTGTGTGTGGGGGGGGGGGCTTATGTACACATGTGCGAATAAAAACTGAAAAGAGAAACTAGAGCTTTGATGTGTCCCATTCCAACCGACCAAACACTCGGATGAAAATGTGCACGAATGGAGAGTACTATGAGGACGACTATGAGGACGACTGTGTGTGTGTGTGTGTGTGTGTGCGCGTCTGCGCGTGTGTCTCAGAGAGAAACTGTCCATCTTTTGATGTGAACCCACCTCCTACTTCCTCGATTCACTCATATCTACTGATTTCCACTTCACCCAAACCCCCCCCCTCCTCCCCCCCCCCCCGTGCAACAGATTCACATGGTCCACCGGGGGCCTGAGAATGTGCTCCAGTGCAACGACGGGGGTCACCAAACGTGAGGACGCACTCTGCACAACGTGTGTGTGTGTGTGTGTGTGTGTGTGTGTGTGTGTGTGTGTGTGAGATGCAGGGTGATGGGGAGGACCGGTCTTCAAACGAACACTAACCGTTTCCTTCAAAAGGAATCAAAAACGCAGCAGTTCCCATGTGTAATTAGCTGAATACATTTATACATTTTGATGTTAAAATAACCAATGACCCAATATGTATGGATGGAGGAAGCATGCATATGCAGGGGGGCGAGTTCAAAGAGACCAGGGGAAACGAAAGTAGCGTACTGATCATCAAGAGATCTTGTTTAGATTAGAGGCTTGATATATGAATATGAATCCTAAATGCATTCAGCTAAAGAACAGAAGAGGAATATTTTCTATGAATTAGTCTTACGGGGGTTTGAGATCCACGGCCTTTAGCTCCACGACAAACTTCAAAATCAAATATAAACTACAAAGCAACAAGTCACTTAACTACTAACACAAGCATTAAATGTTTAATTATAAAGGCTGAGATCAGAATATTTGACTAATCTTATGAAAAATACAACACAACTAAGATGTAAAGGAAATGTAATTCTTTGATTTTGGTTCAAGTTCAAATGAACAAAGTCAGTCTAAAATACTAATATTCATCATTCCAGTGTGAAAAAAAGGTTTTACTGACAAACGTCATTCGGCAACATTCAGCAAGAAACGACAGTATTTATGCTTTCTACTCGTTGACCTCCGACAACGAGCAACTCGTGAGACGGGAGAACAAAGGTTCTGCTCAGTTATATTGTGATGCCTTCGGGCTCTGCTCAGTAAAAAAAAAGCCTGTGAGGAGATGTGTTCACAACATGAAAATACTAGAGATGAATTATGACCTGTGTAGTTCCTACTGAAGATCCAAGAACAGCTCTTCAATGCATAGTTTACTAGAGCCGCTGTGATAATCCCTGCACATTCAAACTCACAACCAAACACAGAGTAACACAGTTCTCCGTGCTCAGGTTGACATTCAATCAACGGCCCCAAACCTAAAAAGATGAGTGAGAAAAGTAACAGAGTTGACAATGCCAAGTGAGAGAGGAGCTAAATTTAGGATTTCTTTTTAAAAAGCTGATGAGAGCAAATTTTAGAGACAAAACAAAAAACTATCACCATGAAAAAGGGCTTGAATACAATGTAAGGCCCTGAAACGGAACGGTGTAAAAGCTTTTCTTCAGGTTCTGCTATTTAACACAGCAGGAGACTTAAAGAAGGGATACAGTCAAATAAATGGAAGGGGGGGGGGTGCAGAGGGAGACAAAGAGAGAGAAAGAGCTGCGAGGCCAAATGAATTGTTGAAAGGAAAAAGGGAGGAAAAGGAGGGAAATGAACGGACAGAGCGAGCAGAGGTGTGCGGTGTGTAGAAAGAGCACGTATCCAGCTGCCCCCCCCCCCCCCCCCCTTCAGCTCTACCCAGAAACCCTTCAATCAAACAACCCCGATCGAGGCCGACCACTGCAGCATCCCCGGGATGCTTTCATTCGCTCTCATTCATCCGGCCATTTTTCCTCTCCTCCGGTGCTTTAAGCCGACCAATTATCATCCGTGGCCCCCAGACGGCCCCGCCGCTTGTTCCTGCTTCAGCTGGCCATTCAAGCAGCCCCTGCATTAATAAGCCAGTTGTTACAAATTAAAAAAAAGGGGGGGAGGTGAGGGGTGATTATTCAAAGCGCTCCTAAAAGGAGAGGGAGGAAGTCCACGTTTCACACCCGGGGAGTGTGAAAGCACCGCCTGCCATTTATGGGCCTAGTATGGAGACTAACGGGCTGGTAGGACACGAGGGACAGCGGCTGTAACGGCAGCGGACATGAAAAAGGTCTAGATGCTAATAACTGGGGGGCGGGGGGCGTACTGAGGAGGCCTGACATGAACAGGTAGATGCATTTAAAGAGGCAGCGCCCTCATATATCCAGTTGCCCAAAAAAACATTTGATAAACCCAAAAGCAGTGTTTCATTCCAGAAATTACAACCCGCTTACTCAAAATAATACACACACCATTACTTTTTTGTTGTGAGAATAAAAAGAGAAGAGTCCTCTGCCAGTCAGAAATAAAGACATCTATTTATAACACATGTCCCATTTTCAACACCCTTTCCTAGAAAAGAGGTGTAAAAGCATCTGTGAAGCTTTAATTGAGAATTCCATGTTACAATTTCTCCCGATTGTGGATCAATTTGTGTTGGAATCATGTGACAAAGTGCACAGGATAACCTCATCAGGATGAAAGAAAGGAGAAAAATCATCAATATGCAACGTGTTTGTGCACGTGTGCGTGCGTCATTTACCTGCACACCTGAAGCTCTGAGCCGTCAGCCCCTTCTCCACCGCCAGGCAGGTGAGAATACTGAGGAAGCTCGTGGTGACCGACTGCCGCTTGGCTCTCTGGGCCTCCCGCTGTCTCCTCTCCCTGCAGGGTTTGGATCTTAGCAGCACTCCCTGGAGGGCCGGAGCTCCTTCCCCCGAACCGCCCGCCTCCTCCTTGGCGGGCCTGTGCGCTCCGACCGCGTCCCGCAGGGCCTCCACCCATTCCTTGGCCTTGAAGTGATCGTCCGCCCGAAGTCTGAGCACCTCTTTGGGGAAAGCCACCTGGAAGCAGTCCCCTCTGTGTGTCCACGGCTCCCCGTGTTCGGGCTCCCGACTGTGCCGCACGGCTGAGCAGGAGGCCAGGGAGAACTGGAGGACGGGCTGGGACACCGACCCGCGGCCCTCGGTGGCGAAGGCCCGGAGAGCGGATCTGGTCAGGACGAAGGTGAAGGCCCGCGAGTTCTGGCTCGACAGCTGGTGGAGCACACCGGCTTTGAGGACGTCCTGGCAGCGCTGGTTGAACAGAGGCAGGCTGGTGGGTCTGCTCAGGACGCCGTACTTGGGCTGGGGGGAGAGGGCGTCGCCGTCCCCGTCGGGTCTGGTGTCGAGCGCCGACGGGGACGCGGCGGCGGTGAGGTTGACGACCTGTTGCTTTTCCGAGCCGGCCTTCCGCTGGTGGCTCTCCCTCCTCGCCGGCCTGGCCGCCTGCACCTTCTCCCACATCAGGCGCCGCCACTCCGCCGCCTCCCATTGGTTGGCCGCCCTCAGCTGCAGGCGCGTGCTGTTGAAGAACAGGGCCTGGAGCGCGCGCGGGTCGGCGGGCTGGCCGGGCGGACCACAGGGAGCCGGCGAGATGACGCTCTGGCAGTGCGACAGAGAGTAGGCGGTGCCCAGCTGGCGGTTGGCGCTGCTGTCCAGGGTGTAGAGGCGGAGCTCACAGGGCGTCAGCTCCACGTGGCAGGGAGCCCAGCGACCACGGGGGCCCTCGCGCTGCTCCATGGCCCCCTGCTTCACCACGCTGGTGCTTTTACCATCTGGACAGAGGTGCAGAGGCAGAGGGGGGGGGGGGGGGGGGGGGGGGCAGGTAGATCAGTGAAGCGTGTGTGAGTGTGTGTGTGTTCAAGATAACCACATTTGATTCAGATTTCCTGCACTCTAACTTTTGAGTATCAAACCCTCACTCTCTGTAAGCTTCACTTTTGGCTCTTATGTGTTTGCATTCTTGTCATTTTAGGATCCACTAATTGATTAATGCATTAATTTTATCCAACATATTTCTTATAATTTTACTGCTCCCCTTCTGAATAATATAATGCATCCTCTGATGTTTTGTTAATGTCTCCATTAACAGAATAATTGCTCTTTATTCATCCATTCTTTATTGATCCATGTTGGAGTGTACAGGTTTTTGCCATGACTGTGGAGTCCATCATGAGTCCATCAAAGTCCCCCATGGACTGGTTCATGCACAAAAGACATTTTCCGTTGAGTACTCCTTTAATGAATACATGCATATACAGAATACAGCATGGACTGTGTACTGTAAGTTTTACCAAACGTTTGTTTTGTGAGCTGCCGGCTTGAAGCCTTAAATCTGTTCCCCGTAGCTCATCCGACATGAGCGTTGGTGTTTTGGTAAGAGGCAGCTGTGTCCTGCTCCTCGGCGAGCGTTCCTTGTCACCATGGCAGGAAGAAGAAGGGCTGTTAAAGGCCTCGCTGTTTCATTTTCTTAATCCGAAGGGTTAGGGCACACCCTCGCCCTGTTTCGGCCTGTCGGCTGTGCAAGGGGGTTTTCTACCCTCATCTAAGTGCTCCTGGGATTACGCTTTGTTTGGCCTTCGGTTCAGGCGGGTTCAGAGTCTTCTGCCCGGACAGGAATCCGCACTGGCTTTTATTAGGAGCTGCGCTGTGTTTACCTTGCAAATTCATTCGGTTGCATTCTGCCGCCTCGCCACTAGATGCCGCCAGTAGTACAACCTTCACGTAGAAATGAAGATCTCTATTTGTTCCTTTGCATAACGCTGCCCTAGATGAGGGTTCTAGAATACACTTTACAGTGCGTTTGTTCTCTCAAAGAACCAGTAAAATGTCCAAAGCAAATACAACACACTGCAAAACCAAACAGGGAAATCAGTAAAGTGACTGGTGATGGTAAACGATTAGAGCTTGATGGATACTGGATTTTTTAGGACAACTTTTTACCAATTTTGTCCATCAAACAACATATGTTGTGATTGATGTGCTGATGTAAATATATTGAACAATCAAATAATCAGCTTTAAATGAAAGTACGCTACAGTCAATATAGGGTAAGAGTACACTTTGCACAGTAACTTTAATTTCAATTTAATGAAATTAGACAATTTAATATACTAGGAAAGATCCAAGTCAATTCTAGATAAGATTGTAGCCAATAAAACCATTATATCATATTTGCCTTTACTTATGGACATAAGCTAATACATATGACTGGTAATATATTGTTGAGGCTCAAACTTAAATAATTCTTATAAGTCTTAGTAAAGTGGCACTTTTCTAATGAAAAAGAAAGGAAGGACATATATAGATATAAAAGAGGAAGAGGGAATAGCACCTGCTACACAGAGCAGGCCAGCAGAAAACTACAAGCTGCAGACTAACAGATGAATCTAAAGACTTAAACTGGGACTAATATTGTCACAGTTTTATTTGGTAATTTGCAGGTCAAAAGACATGTAAACATCTACAATTGGTAAAAATGGTTGAACGTAACTAAAAGACGTTTTAGTCTAATTTATCCAGTTGTGGCTTTAATAAGCAGACGTCTTATTGTGAGTTGAGGTTCACTTCAAATCCCAGGAATCACCCTCCACAAATCCAATCCAACAATCTGATTTAATTGTAACGCCCGAATCAGGAACCTTCTAATTGGCCAATATTGCATTTTGGTTCTTTAACGTGCTAAATCACTCAAGGAGGAAAAGTAAAAAGCAAAACCCTTCACGGCTGTGGTTGCCGAGTCGAGTGCCTCATCCATCTTATCACAACGGCAGTAGACACGGTGTCACTCCGGCTCTCGGACTTTGCATGTCAACAAACCCTTCTTGCTAAGGGGACGAATGAAAATGCAAATAGGTTTGCAGCTGGAATCAGGACTGGCTGATTGGCAGTCTTCACGCTCGGGAGGGCCGGGATTTAGAATTAGGCATTGTGGCAGGAACGAAACAACGTGCTCGGTTCAATTAGCCTTCATCTCCACCTGGTGGGTTCTGACATCACACTCTGGTAATAGTCCAAGCCGTCAATCGCCATTACCGTCTCCTCTTTTTTTCAGGACTCCGAACAAACTATCAAACAGCGCTGCCTTCAAGTCATTCGAGACGTTAAACAAGCCGCCTCACGTGCTGCGGTGTAGCCCCTCTGATAGAACGGTAGGGGGGGGGGGCGCTGCTTTCAGAAAACCCCAAAAGCGGTTTGAAAGGGACGCAGACGGAAGGGTCTACGTTCTACAACGTGCGTTTGATGGATTTATCGGGACGTGAAACACAACCAGCAGCAAAAACAAGTTAAAGAGATAAAGACAGAAGCAAGAGCTGCAGATGCTGAGTGAACCGTCACATCACCATGGTGATCGAGACTGAAGACAATACCTTTAAGGAGCAACACTGTTCCTGTAGAGCCAGGTAGAAAAAAGGATTATCAGCTAGAATAAAGACACACAGACGAATGAAGCCTTTGGGGTTCAGTTGGAAATTTCATGAAACAAAAGAGCTACATAGGGCTTGTTTGGTCCTATATATACATGTTTATTGTGTATATAATCCTTTCCATTTACCGTCTAAACATGCCCAGCTGTCACTAATGGAAAGGCCAGCAGGCCACCTTTTTTTCTCCTCAATGTGAATGAAGAGACATCGCGTGGGCCGAGCTGAATCACTCTGCCTTCCGCTTATTACCGTCTTTCTCCTACTTCTCTCCTTTCAATGCCAGCGAGCCAAACTAAATAGCCTGATGCCTTTTCACACATATGCTAATACTAAATAATCCGGCCAGTATCAGGGGCCGAGTAATTGGGTTGCCTCTTCTTTCGCCTCATTTGAGTCCATTTGCTGACAGGATTACAGGCTATTATCCCTCCGGATCCCTTAGGATCTCCTTAGGCCTTCAGATGGCCAAAACACACACAAATAAATGCTGTGTGTGTGTGTGTGTGTGTGTGTGTGTCGGTCACTGTGCCTGAATACTGACTGTCATAGCACAGCTGTGTCATTTCAAGTTATCATCATCTTCTATCATTATTGCTTTCTCTGAGGATGCTTCAACATAAGTGCAGCGTACGCTCCGAGTCTGTAGCACAAATAGTCAGACTTCCGTTCTCCGAAAAAGCCTCTCAAAGGCTGGGAAAACTTTACGGTCATTGGCCAAAGAGAGGAGGTGGGGGATGGAATTGTCTCCAACCGGTAGAGACCGGACTGATGTCTCTACGGAGTCATAGCAACAATTAAGAAAAAACAGCTCTCCATGTCGATGACAAATTAAGCCAATTGAAATGGGTCACTTCACAAAAACTAACATACATATCATTTTACCAATTCCCTTCGTAACAATGGAGGTTATTGGACAGAAACCTCACCTCATGAAGGCAATGTAGTGGAAACACTGCTCTTATCTTAAGAGGGTCCATGGGGGGGGGTTGTAGTCAATCCCAACCTGCATTGCACGAGGGAGTACACAGGGCTGCCGACAAACGAACAAACATTCACTCCCATTCACACACCTACGATTTGGGGCATTTTGAGCAATTTAGCGTCACCAATTAACAAACCCACGCAGGCACGGGAAGAACATGCGACCTCCCCCCAGAGAGGCGCTGGCGGGTTTGACCCCAGGACCTTCTTGCTGTGAGGCCACAGTGCTAGTGCTGGTCAGTTTGGGGAATATCTGAGTGGATCGGCACTTACACAGTATCAGCTCTGACCACATGGTGCGTGATAATACAATGTTACTATACAAAATTAGAAACAAAGCAGCCTATGTACACATTGGATGTAATGAAACAACGTTTGTTTTGACGCATGACAATGAATCGATTCAGGGACAAAACTGTTAAAAGAGTTCACCGTTCCTTTCATTTGTAACATTAGTGGAGGCAAAATGTCTTTGATTACATTTGTATTTATAGAAATGGCAAATGTCTTTTTTGTCTGTGAACTCACCCCCCGGCTGGTGGTTGAGGATCATGTTCTTCAGGGTGTTGGAGTCCAACGTGGGCAGCCCGTTGTCCGTGTACGCCGACGGCCGGTAGTTGACGTCTGACCTGGACCGGTTGTGTCCCTTCTTGAAGGCTGAGTTGGCGGCGGAGTTGGCGGTGTTGTTGGCGCACTCCTTGGTATGGGCCGCCAGGTCGTTGGTGGAGCGGGCTCTGCTCCTCTTGCCGGCCCTCAAGCCCACCCCCAACCCCAACACGCTGAAGTTGTCGGCCCAGGCCAGGCCTAAAGGCCCCACCTCTGGCTGCTCTCGGGCCAGCAAGCCCCACACGCCGCTGGAGCTCAGCTTGCCCAGCGCGGCGCTGGAGACCTCCCGCGGCTGCTTCGGCTGCCTGGGCGGTTGGTGCGTCCCCGTTTGAGCGTGGCTCGGGCCCTGTTGTCCTTTCATCCCATCCATGCAGTGGGTGAAGTCCTCGGTGGCCTCGAGGGCTGGGCTGATGTCGCCCGCCATGTCAAGCTGCTCAAGACCCTCCATGGCTGGGACCCCTTGAGCAAGACGTCTCACGACTAGATGGGTTTCCAAAATGGGCACAAAAACCCAGTTAGCATTATGCACGTGTCAACAAGACCGTAATATGTGTACAACTAAGATTGGGTTTCGGGGAGAAACCGCTGTCTGAAGTCAGGCGCTGCTCTACTCCTCAATACAGGACCGTTATCCAAGGCTACAGTTTTCTGAATAGGTCCGGCAGTAGCCTGGGACTCCCGAAATGCTGCCAACCTGGGTGGCAAACTACGTTGCTTAGCCGGAAACACACACTCCGAACAGTCAAACCCCTCTGCACACACACACTGGTGTTCTGAGGGGCAGCTAACTCTAGCCCGTCAGGTGGCTGGGAAGTCATCAGACGGAGACTATCGGTGCCTTTACTGTAAGAAACGGAAAAGCAAAAGAGGAAGTGCATTAGAGGAAGCATGCCGCACAAAAACAAATAATGGAAACACGTCTAACAGTGAGAAATGATCAAATTACAGATAAAAGAGGAGTCTTTCATGCGCTTTCTTAAACTCTAAATAGGAGCTTTACCAAGAGAGAGGTCAGATCAGAGGGTAGTGACGCCACTGCTCTATATGGTGGCTATTGCCTCCACGCGGCTCTCAACATGGCGACGTCTGGAGTCGGGCGGCTTGCAGCTAACGGGTCAAGGGCGTTACCGCGTTGTTCGGGGCGGCGTTGTCAGCTGTAACCGCGTTATAGCCGATCGCAGCGCGCAGAGCAGCGGCCCGGGAGCCGACCAGTGGGGCGCGCTCGCTCACATGCACTGAAAGGCACGGCCATGTAAACAAAGCAAGGAGAAGCTCCGACTACCACACGCAGAGAGACATTTAATTCTCCGCCCAGGTAGACCTTACTCCACAACATATTTAGTACGTCTAGTAAATAGTTGTTTTTTTTGCTATATCGCTGCTCCGAGGAGCCTCCAATAACTTTAGGCAGGAAAGCAGCGACCCACCAACAGGATCGTCGTCACACTGAGGCCGGAGCTTCATCTGTCCCTCCTCAGCAAACAGAAACGATCATCCTCCCTCACGCGTCCCGGTGAAATAATAATACTTGACTTCCTCCTCAGCTGCTTGTCACTGGACTGAGCGGGCAGAGAGGAAGCGGCCCGGGTGGAGTCCACATCCATCAGCCTGACCGCCCGTCTCTTCTGATTCCCTCCAGTCCTCTGTGTGTGTCTCTCTCTCTCTCTCCCTTTCTTCTTTCATGCTGCTCCCTCACCCTCATTGATTTTTTTCTGCCCCACAACTTGGCCTCTTTTACTTTTCTCTACATATCAATTATTTAAAGGGCATTACATCACTGCAATTCAACTTTTCGTCGGGGCCATGCGATACCTTGAATATTCACAATATATGCGTGATGATGTTGTTGTTGAGGGTACATTGGAAGATGCATCACTGAGAGTTCAATGGATTATATTGATTTTATTAACCTATATGCACTATGCTTCAGACCACCACTCAAATTTGATTAGACAATAAAGAAGAAGACAATTATATTCAAAAGGTTTTTTTTTTTTAATAAAGATCATAAAGAGACCATTATGCCAGTTCCTTTCTGTGTGACATAAACAAACTCAAAGTTGAAATGAACAAATACGCATATATATTCTCTTCCGATTCATTTCAATAAATGATCAAGCATTCCAGGAGTTGCTTCTGTGATATCATCTGCCTGCAGATAGAGCTCTGACCCAACATGAGCACCGTCACCACGTTACTCAGCGAGCGTCCCGCTGACCTCACGTTGACATAAGGCTGGACGGTATACCGGCATAAGATCTCCTCGAGGTATGAATCTCTCACATACCGTTCACTCAGGGGTCACGCATTGAGGGTGACAGTCACTCATTTCGGTCTTTAGTCACGCACTCCCGCCACACATCCAATTTCTCACGCTAAAAAACACGCTAACAAGCTAACGAGCCAACTCACCGGCCAGTTAGAGCGAGTTGGCCAGCGAGCGGCGAGTCGGCGGTCCTTTTCGGGGTCAATGAATTAAAGTGTTTACTTGAAAAAGCAATACCGTCACATACCGGGATACCGTCAGAACCTTTCTAAATACCGTGATGTGGATTGTTGGTCATACCGTCCTACGTTGACACACACACACTCTTATGAGGCTGAGATCAGTACGGACAGAATAGAATGCGTTCGATCGGTTATGACGCTAAAGGACTTTAGACCCATTTACGATCGGAGTCATTCTGTTTCCCAGCCAACAAAAACTGGTAACGTAGATATACACATTACATAATGTGAGGTTCTGGATTGAAAAAACAAACACTATTTTTATGACAATAAATAAGTGAGCAGAACCCCCAAAAAACACAATTTGAGCGAAACACACCAGCCTCTCGTGCTAAATAACAAATTATTGCAATTAAAGCACAGCGTGTTAAACATTAACACTATATGTTGCAAATCAGTCCATACAAATGAGGATTAGTATTAATAGTAGTAACATCCGACTGCAGAAAGAAGGCACCCATACAATTTAGGTTTAGTTTTTATACATCCTGGATCAGGATGCAGGTATTAAAGATAATTTAGGGGAAATCAAAACTGAACAACGCCGCTAAAAATGAAAAGAAAACACATGTGAGTTAATGAGTGGTGATCTCACTCTTAAAGTAACTTGAGTAACGAAAATAACACATGACTATAAAGATAGCAGTAACAAACAAAAGCCCACCGGGTTGGAGCCACAGCACGGCTGATTGTTTGTTTGTTTGTTTGTTGCTGCATCAGTAAACACGGGCAGAGGTGAAGCAGCGGTCAGCCTCTCGGGCAGCTAACGTTACATTCACCTGCTACGGGAGCGAGCAGCCTAACACGACCTGTTCACCACCACAATCCCTCAGTTACAGCGAGGGAAAATGCCACGATGAACTAGTGCAAAAGCGGACTGGAAAGGCCTGTTGTTTCTACCCCGAGCTGGTGTGATGTCATCAGGGGCGAGTTAGCTAGCAGCTAACGCTAGCTTCTCTCCCTCCATCCTTGATCAATGTCACTTTAACACAAGACAGAATTCGTCGCTCCCTCGTTTCTTCAACATCGCGTGTGTGTGGATGCAGACTGATGGCGTTTTGGGTAAAACTGGTGCGTTCGCAAGCATTAAAAAGGAAATCTAGACTCACCTTACTGTGTTTACCACTATGTCATTTTGACAGTCCGTCAGCGACGGAGTTCCCTGAAGGAAACCGGGGCAACAGGATAAAGGTTCCGTCTAACGTTTGAGCAAATCATGTATTTTAATGTTATACATTTATTGTATACAATCAATACATTAATGAAGTACTTGTGAGACAGTACAATGAAGTTAAACTCAAAGCATAACAATTGTTTGCATTTTATTTGTAGGAATTAGGTCACAATAATATGATTTTTTTTAATTTCTATTACTTCTTCTCTGGGAAAAACCTTCAGCAGTAAATTAAAAGAGAAAGGAACAAAATACTTCAAAAATAAATGGTAAAAAAGGATACCCTGCCAACTTTGGATGACAGCTCCTGCTCCTTTGTGGTTTAAATGTACTTATTGTTTGATGCTTTTGGAGAAAATACAGCATCACAGGTTCACCCCAAAATGTATTTGCCATGATGATAACTGTTTATAAAGCTGCACTTGCAGTTCAATATCAAACCAACTTTGACGATTCAAAAGAATCCAGACTCAGCAAAAGTTCAGGGTCAGAAATTTAGTAATAAACTGTGTAATTATTTTATTATCAAACCGCTAATGATTTCTCCTCAAAATGAGAAATGCTCCATTAAAATTATTGTTTCTTATCAAATGTGTTTGTTTGATATTGTTGGGGAAATGCTAAAATCTTTTTTGTTTGGCAAAGGGTCAATTGGATTATTCCAAATATAAAAAAATGATTAATGACCAGAATCCCGAGAAATATCATTACCACTTTCCATAAACCCATTTGAAAAATAACGGGCCTCCTCCTCTTCCTCATCCTTTTTCTGAATGCTCTTTGTCTGAATTTACTTCAAAAGTTCTCTTCAGTGAAGGAGAGGCGGGACAAGCCGCCCTAATGGCTTCTGCTGAGTTACTCTCGCAGCAGCGTTTAAGGATAACACTCCTGCATTTCTCAGATAACACAATATTTAATTTGCAAACATGCTCAGTAAAAGCAAACAAATGAAGATGGGAACCTTTTACCCTGGATGTAACATTAATTAGCACATTTCTACATGGGCAAAGAGGTTTTTCCTCACAGAAAACATTTTTGTTAAATGGAAAAAAATGTCTTACAGTTTACACTCTCCGTGTCCATTTAGTGTTTGTAATTTGACATAAGAAAAGGCATGAATGGTCGGCGTTGGTGGTTATGACTGACTCCACTGTCTTTGCAGCAGTGTGTAGCTGCTTGTGAGCAACAGAAATCCTTTTAGGCTAAGTGCCTTTGCCTGGGTATAGATGGATGCAACAAATACGCTTCAGCTTTAGGAATGAGACCATATCTGTCCACAAGGCTCCATCATCTAACATCAATATACCCCACCGCCCCCCACCCCCCCCCCCCCCCCCCCTTCCCTTGAATCATGCACTCAGTTCCCTCGCTGTCCCGTCTTGCCCATTTCCTTCTTTATTTTGATCATCTTCTAGTGATGACTAAATTATGATTAGATTTAAGGATGTGCAGTGCTTTCATCTGTCTAGCACATTGTTTAATACTGCCCCCTCTAACCCCTCTCGAACCCCAACCGCGACCCCCCAGACACACAACACACAATGGCCATCTACCCCGACTCACTCACTTGCTATTGAAGAGCAGAGTGGCTGCTTGGTTCCCATGGAAACACTACGCATGTATGTGTGTGTTTTCCCCAAATGTTTCTCCAGCTCCGAGATCAAGTTTAACATGCATGCACACAAAAAGACGCGAAATAACTGTTTCACTTTTAAGTGACTATTCTGTTCTCAGCGTTTTCCTGTTGAGCCGCGATGGGAGAATAATAATAACATAAGGAGGTAACATTGTAAAGAGACTTTATACCTGGAAATGTACCAGTTTCATTGGTCAAACCTGAACTAAGCCCTACATAATACATTTTTGCTTGACACAACCGGTGTGTAGTTGTTCTTAGCTGCACCCTCTCTCAGTGTTTGCAGAGGAAAAAAGCAGCGACAGTCGAGAACTAAGATGCCGGATTAAAGGCTTCAGAACCAAAGTCCACCCAAATAGTGGTGCTGTCACAAGTAACCAAGGCTTTGCCCATTCCACTTTAGAGGAACAACTTTTCATGGTACCTGAGCTAGGACTTATTTCAACATGCTTTAACAAACAGACATGAAAAGTTTCCGTATGAAACAGGACAACCCTTGGAGACCCTGATACATCATCAGTAGTCGCCGATGGTGTTTAAACAGGCGTGAGCCCTCATGACAGAATAGCAGCGCCCTGTTCAATGTTACCGCAATCTCCTCTAATCACACATATTTACAACAAAGTAAATATGTGCGCTACCTACTTTCAAAACACTGGCTTTGGACTTGGCCTCAGAACAACCTCTTTTTAGAGGTTTTATAGCTGCAACACTTCAGGCTAACTCTCCATCGCAACAAGACTCAAGAAGCCTGCGGTTGGGAGCAAGAGGTGTGCTGGGAACCTGGATGAGTTTGAAGTGAATTGAAGAGCAAGAGGCGCTTCATGAAACGCCTCTTGCTTTCTGTTTGGCTGCGGCCCGACTGCACCGGTACGTAGAGGAAGAACGGCAGCTGTTGTCCTGTTTGTTCCAATGTTTCAGTGGAGAAGAGCTATTAGAAAATCATCTGACAACACATTTTAGGGAGAATAATGTTTGACATGAAAACAGCAATTTGAGATTGATGTAGAGATGTATAGACATGTGTGTGTGTGTGTGTGTGTGTGTGTGTGTGTGTGTGTGTGTGCAGCACCACACGTATCATTCACACCTAATGATCGCAGCCTCTCACTGGCAGCCATCTCTTTTCCCAGACCAAATCCAATTACCGGGGACAATAGAAACCAGCTCCCGGCTCAGGACTCCATCAGCTCCACCGTGCTGCTGCTCCCTGCTCCGAGGCTCCTGCTGGACCCCTAATCATGTCGAGGGTCCACGAGGGCCACGCAGCACACCTGTAGACGGAAACGAGTACAAAGAGCAACACAAATACAAACACACATCAAGGGAAAATGCAAACAAGTGAAACACACAAACATGTACAAGTGCAACAGTCGACAAAAGATACAAATATGAATAAGAGCATATAAATATACACAGATGTAACTGATGCAGTAATTGGAAACACACAGACGAGCAAATCAACAACCATGCAAAAAACAAATGAGCGCACATGTGAACACTGATAAACACGTGTAAGGACGACTGTGGCTATTGCTAACATGCTAAATTAAATTGTTCAATATGTTCCATCTCGTTCAGTGCAAGGCGCACACACACACAGACACGCGCACACACACTGTACAACACCACAGGATTAATTTGTCAACAGCTCTATCTAGTGGCACACACATGAAACAACAATGGTTTGTTCTAAATCCACCATGAATGAACTCTGGAATCCTTTTCACAAACCGTCAAACTAAGTGCAAGGAGCTGTAGAGAGAGCAGAGATTTTCCATTCAACAAATACGTAACTTTTTATAATATCATAGCCGTTGGCTACTGGACCTACTGGACCTACTGGGCCAGTTTTCCTCGTTAATAACTAAGGTCATTATTATTGGCAGTTATTAATCATTTCAGTTCATTTGACTCGATCTGTTGAATTTCTTGAATATCAATGACTATCTGTAAATAAATTAGAGGGGACAGTTTTCTTTGCATGAGATGCTGCAGGAGTGACGGCACGGGCAAATAAAGATGATATGCATTAGTCAATTTGAAAATATACTGGATTCTCGAAATGATGTTGTCCTCACTTTCATTGACATTACATTGTTAGATGCAATTTTGCAAGATTTACATTGTTATATTAATTCAGTATGTTTTGTGTAGGTTACCCTCTTTACACAAAAAATTGTAACAATGGAGTGATAATTATTATACTAACCCATAGCCTTATTCTACTAACCCATTGCATTAGCATTCCATTTATTTTATACTTGTGCACTGCTGTCTTGTTGTCTATTGTTACACTGTCTACTGTCACCCTCCAACCGCCAAGACAAATCCCTTGTATGTTTGACATATTTTGGCAATAAATGTTTCCTGATTCCTGATTCCTGATAAATTGTTAATCACATATTTTTAACATCTAGGAACCCTCATAGCCGGCACGACGGAGACATTTGGCCCACGGCCTAAAAACTCTTAATAAGTTCGAATTTATTTTCTAAAGTTTCAAATTACAATGGATAATGGAAAGGATGTTGCTCGGGTTTTTATTTATGAGTTTTATTTTGAAAGTTACAGCCGGAAGTTTGAATGAATCACCTGACTGTGACGTTCGTCTCTGAGGCAAGATGGCCACCGCCGGCAGAATGAGCGTTGACGGAGGAGATATGATGCGCTATGCTGAATATTCTCCTAAACCCGACGCCAGGAGCGACGCAGATATAGACAGACGCCTGGCAAGTACCTGCTGTTATGCTCCACGTCGTCGTGAAGTGAAGTAAACTAAACCGGACTGCTTTTACCTGCCGACGTGTGTTACGCAACCTCGATGACCGCTACCAGCGCGTCTGCAGCTGCTGTGTTAACTAACGTTAACTTACCGTTAGTTAACTTATCGTGGCTGCCGTGAAGCCCGTTTGACATCGGGTAGCTTAGTGTTTTACCGATAAACGATGAGACGGCGTTACGTTTTTATCTTTTGTTTAACCGTAATACTAATAGTATTATTGAGAAAATGTATCTAACGTTACATTAATTAATGCCTTTCGAAGATCAATTCAGGTGGACAAAATGCAATGTCTCAACCTTTTATATCATATTACGCGCATTCTTACAAATGTCCTGCCAGCTAACGTTAGTTAGTTGCCCCCATGTTGCATCAGCTACTTAACCTTTGTTTGACCTCCAGTAACCAGTCGAAAGTTTGGACAAACCTTCTAATGAATAGGTTCTTTATTTCAATATTGTCTACATTGTACATCAATACTGACGACATTAAAGCTACGATGAACACATATGATGTGGTATGCAAAATAAAAGTTAAACAAACCAGAATGTTATATATTTTATATTCTTCAAAGTAGCCATCTTTAGCTTTACAGACGCTTTGCACACTCAATCAGCTTCACCGGTCACCTGGAGTCAACAGGTGTGCCTGTCAAGAGTTCATTGGTGGAATTTCTCGCCGCCTTTGTGTTTGAGACCATCGGTTGTGCTGTGCAGTGGTTCTACACAGTGAATGGGCCTATTTCACTACAGTTCTAATCCATGTGATGGCAAGAACCACTCAACTCAAGTAAAGAGAAACAACAGTCCATCATTACGTTGAGACAGGAAGGTCCGTCAATCTGAAAAATGTCAAGAACTTAGAGTGTATCCTCAAACACGCTGATGAGACTGTCTCTCTTGATTGATTCAGAATTAAAGGCATACTTAACCAGCATGGCCACCACAGCGTTCTGCATGACACGCCATCCCCTCTGCTTTGTGCTTAATGGGACAGCGTTTATATTTTAACCGGACAATGACCCCAGACACGCCTCTGTAAGGGCAAAGTCACCAATTTGTGACAAAATTAAAATCTAGATGGGCAATGTATTATTGCACTGACACATTATCCATTTACTTATTACTAGTTTGAGTATTCATTAAAGTGTACAACATTTTTTTTGAAGCACTTATTTTCTCATCCACAGATGATCCCTGAAAACTTTTCAGCAGCCAGTATTAGTTTTCTTGTCTCCGCTCGTGTCTCCATGGACCTGTGTTGTGTGACCCGGTGAGGGAACATAACCGCTGTGCGTTTTGTGTTTTGTCGACAGGGAGGGACTCTGATCGCAGTCGGTCTCGGTGTTGCTGCTGCAGGTTTTGCCGGTAAGAATAGTTTGATATCAGATTAGAAATATGCAAAGAGCAATATTATTTTTACGCTTTTGGTTGACTTTCAGTCATTGCTAAACTAACTTCTTTCATCTAATTCGATTTTTAAGTGCCGTGCGTTTGCTGCTCCCTTCTGAGATAAAGAACGTGTTTTCATGTATGTCAATCCGCAGGCCGCTATGCATTCCAGCTGTGGAAGCCTCTGGGGCAGATCTTCTCTGAAACCGTCAGGAAGATGCCCTCGTCTGTGAGTCATTATTTCTCCCCCCAATGTTCAGGTTCCACATCTATTCCTCTTTAGCTCTAATCGCGTTCTGTCTCCACAGGCTTTCTCGCCGTATTACAAAGGAGGTTTTGAACAAAAGATGTCCAAGCGAGAGGCCAGCCTCATCCTTGGCATCAGGTAATCAGATCTGTTGTGGTTTATATTTCGTAAATGTTATCTGCAGAAGTGTGAGATCAGAAGAACGTGATGACTGCTCGCATGGACGTGTTCATTTATTTTCCCGTTTCCAGCCCCGTCACCACTAAGGCCAAGGTACGCGACGCCCATCGGAGGATCATGGTCCTCAACCATCCTGACAAGGGTGAGCGTTACTGCGACCGGCAGGGGAAAAGTCCGTGTCTACAGTTGCAATCAAAATTATTCAACCCCCCATTGCACATTAGGTTTATTGGCAAAATATACAATTTCTCAGCTGTTTGCACTAAACAAATTACACAAGAATTGTTTAAGTAGTTTAATGAAACTAATATTACAAAGGTTTTATCCAAATTCAACACAAAATGCTACTTTTAATGACTTTAATGAATTTACTGCAGTCTCAAAATGATTCAACCCCTTCATGACAAGCATCTCCAGTACTTAGAGCACCTTTTGCTGTTATGACCTGCTGCAAACGTGATGCATAGCCAGACACCAGCTTCTGACAGCGTTCCTGAAGAATCTGAGCCCGTTCCTCACGGGCAATGGCCTCCAGTTCAGTAATATTCTTTGGTGTGCGTTTTGCAACCGCCTTCTTCAAATCCCACCAGAGATTTTCGATGGGGTTCAAGTCAGGCGACTGTGACGGCCACTCTAGAATCTTCCATTTCTTCTTCTGAAACCAAGCCTTGGTGGACTTTGAGGTATGCTTGGGATCATTGTCCTGTTGGAAGGTCAAATGACGCCCAAGTTTCAGCTTCATCACAGACGGCCTGCCGTTTTTTCCTAAGATTTCCTGATATTTGACTGAATCCATCGTGCCTCCACACGCTGCAGGTTTCCAGTGCCAGAGGCAGCAAAGCAGCCCAGAGCATCACTGAGCCACCGCCATGCTTCACTGTAGGCAGGGTGTTCTTTTCAGCATATGCTTCATTCTTCTTCCTCCAAAAATAGCGCTGATCCATAGGCCCGAATAGTTCCAGTTTTGTCTCATCGCTCCACAGAACAGAATTCCAAAACTTCGGTGGCTTATTTATATGGTTTTCAGCATATTGGAGCAGACTTTTCTTGTGCTTTTGGGTCAGTAGTGGTGTGCGTCTTGGAGTCCGGGCATGGAACCCTTCAGTGTTTAGTATGCGCCTTACTGTGCAAACTGAAACCTCAGTTCCTGCTGCCACCAAGTCTTGCTGCAGGTGTCTTGCAGTCACTCGAGGGTTTTTGACCACTTGCCTCCTCAGGAATCTGGTTGCAGCCGCTGATAGCTTCTCCTTTCTGCCACGTCCAGGTAGTGTAGCCACTGTTCCTTCAACTTTGAACTTGTGAACTATGCTTCCAACTGTATTTCTAGGGACATTCAGTGCTTTTGCTATCTTTTTGTATCCTTTTCCTTGTTTGTGCAAGGCCATGATCTCTTCTCTGAACTTTTTGGACAATTCTTAGGCATATTTCTAACATGCAATCAAACGTCACTCTGAACAAACCCGGAGCCAGACCAGGTATTTGTGTTCTATCTCAAGCACACCTGAACTAATGAAGCCCTTGATTAGTTGCACCCGGTGCTCTTGATACAGGGAGCTGAATCATCTCAAAGGGGGCTCTACTAAGTACTGGAGATGCTTGTCACGAAGGGGTTGAATCAGAGACTGCAGTAAATTCATTAAGTCATTAAAAGTAGCATTTTGTGCTAACTGCAGTTAGCGAGTGCTGGAATCAATCATATATCTGTCCTCATATTGTTGTCTTCCAAATCACCTCAGGATGTTTGTGTTAAGCGAGCGATCAAGGAATCCGAGTTGTGTGTTTTGTACAGGTGGGTCCCCATATCTGGCCGCTAAGATCAACGAGGCCAAAGACCTTTTCGACAAGGAGAACCGGCGATGACCTGCACAGCGAACCAACGCTTAGAGAAGCCGTTACATCTCCGCTCCACCAACGTGGAAACCCTGCATCCACGCCGGCTGCTGGAGGCAACGTCTTCATTCTAACTATTTATAAATGTATGTCAGGGGGAAGGATGATAATGACTTAGCCTGTTCCCATGTACTCATTTCTAATACATTAGGTTTTAACTAAGGGCATGAATGCAAGATTAATGTATTTAAGGAGCAGGACCACGTCGCGTTAAAATATTCCATGTTTGAACAGTTGGTGAAAGTTTTTTTTATAAATAAACTTATTTGAAAACATCAGTTGGTTTTTCCGACAAAAAGAAAACACCTGACAGCAACTTTCAAAAAGCTTCTTTATTTAGAGGATGATGTCGTATGTATATATATTATCAGACAAAGGGCAAGACGCAGGATATAACAATGACACGTACAGCAGCAGTTATTGGTCAAAAACACCAACCGTTCACGGCAAGTTTAACAAAAGTAAAAATAATTTAAAAGGAATCTTACTGATGTCAGTCTGAATCAGAGGAAAGCAGCTCCGGTTAGGTGTTGACGTCATGAAGGCAGCGGGCTTATTTAGAACATCCGAGTAGAGCGAGTCTCTGGGTCCTCTGAAGATGTTGAGCGTCATGGAAACAATAAGTCCCGCAGACCATTTCACGGGTTTTGATGATCGTCCATTTAATAATCCCAGCTCTGATCCTTTTACATATTTGGCCAAACTAAAGCAACTTATTTCATTAGGGTTTCCTGGGGTATATCCTCAGGGGATCCTCATCCTTCGGTGGTGGAAGTCAAATGAATCAGCCGTGTCCCAGCATCATTTATCTCTGAGGGAAGGGGGAGCTTTCCCAAATGACTATCAAATATGTAAATCTTTTACTTGAACCATTCACATGTTTTTTCGTGTTGCTCTTTGGGACTTGTCGTTTTTTTACACGTGATTGAGACCGGAGGGAATTGCGTCCATCGCAAATGACCGATAAGGCTGCACACCGGATCTACTGTGCGTCCGCTCCTCGGTACACCAACGGGTTCCTCGCTCTTCCGGGGGAGGGAAGTAAAAAGGAGGACGAGGAAGCAAGAAAGGCAAGAGGTCGGGGAAAGAAACACAGGAACCGTGGTAACCATGTCAGCATCATGGAAGCTCCACCCACTTAGGTAAACAAGAGGCATGCTGGGAAAGAGGAGTAGCTGTTTTTGTCCAATCCTTTTTTCTCACAGTCGATCAGTCATCAACAGAGTATCCGGACGTAGTAACGTTAATAATTCCAGTATGTTACAGTTCTACTGGATGGCGTAGCAGCAGAAAAACAGTCAGCCTCTCAGTTTCTGCTGATCGCAGCGACCGGATCCCATCCGGCATGTTTCCCACCTTTAGGAGGGTGAGCATGGAGGCCGATGGGAAATGTAGAGAAAGCCCAGTAAGAACAAACTGCTGGGAAAGCGAAGCAACGATGGAAGTCAAATCAGCCGCCGTCCGTTAACCGGCGCTCCATCAGCAGTCCTGCGTGGCCCTCTCCAAGTCCTCGTGCTGCTGCCCCGCCTCCTCCCCTTCCTCCTCATCTTGCTCCTCTTTCTCGCTCAGTTCCTCGCCGATCACGTCGAGCCGCGCCTCCTGCCCGTTGAGCATCTCCTCCTCATCCTCGTCATGGAGCTCCACCTCCTGCAGCTGCAGCCGTCTCTCCTCCACCAGCAGGAGGCGCTCCCTGACGGCCTCCGCCGCCGCCGCCGTGTCGCCGGGACTCCCGAAGAACTGCTCGGTCCTGAAAGCACAAGCATTCCAGTCAGGAATTTGTTTCCTGTGAAGTATGTGGGCACAAAAAACAACTGGTGCCGCTTGAAAGCAGCTGTAATCGATATCACATGACTACTAGTAATCGAACCGGGTGGGTGCAGCTATGTGGCACATAACTGCGTGCGTGCGTGTGTGTGTGCGTGCGTACCCATCAGGGAAGACAACAGGCAAGGTCAGTCTGTCCAGCAGAGTTTTCCCACAAGAGTCGACTTCATCCAGAGACTCTGGGTCCACACATTCCTGCTGTAACACCTGAAACACATTCAAAAGGACACCGTCAGCGCCGGGGTCCGTGCGTGACGTCGACCGCGGCGTCGGCGTTCTCTCGCTCGCTCACCCGCTCGGCGGCGGCGTGGAAGCTCAGGGCGAGCTCCAGCCTCTGCTGCCTCTCCTCGGAGCTGACGCTGAACTGCTTCCAGACCCGGTTGAGTCTGGGCAGCGTGTCTCCGGACGAGCGCGTGGTGCAGCGCAGGGACTGGCAGAGGACGACGGTCGCCTGCAGCAGCTGGCGGCCGTAGTCGTACGTGCTCTGCAAGAAGAGCGCCGCCCACGGGGAGCGTGTTACCGTGTCCGCCATCGGCACGTCTACATTTGTTATGTGGGTGCACTACGAGGTGTCTCACCTGAGCAACGTCCACAAACTTCCTGTGTTTGTCCGTCATGGTCCTGGTCTCCTGAGAGTCGTCGCCCAGTCGGACGTGGGTCTTCAACAGGGCGTCCAACAGCTCGCCAAGCCACTCTACTGCCTGAACACACACACACACGGTTATCTCATCAATAAGTGTTGTTGTTGTGCGTGTTGTCGGGGTCATCGTGTCCTACCTGTAAAGCGTCTTCTTCACATTTGAACAGTTGGACCATCTGTAGCATCTTCAGCCTCCTCACGTCCACCATGTCCTCACACCTGCAACAAACACACCCATAGCGTCATTAGCCGGTATCGCCCCCTAAAAGCTGCACATAATCAGTGTGAAAGAGTTGGACAAAAGTGTTTCACCTGCAGTGGAGCTAAAAATCTAAACTTAATCCAAGTTCTTAGTCGCATTAAGATTCAAAAGTTCATCCTCTGCTGAACGGGAATGAGACATTTGTTGAAAATCTGAGCAGCTGTAGTTGTAAATGTGTCTTACTTTGAGCCACATTAACATTATTATCTTTTATCTCACGGGACCCAAACTGATGGGGAGGAAGAAGTGAGCTGCTGCTCTGGATTGTGGCCAAAATATTCCCAAAGCCAAAACCTGGTCGTGCAGTTCACATTTGATCCAAAGAGCATTGACCCCACGTCGCTCCCGGCTGACCTCAGCTTAGGAAAAGACCCGCGTCTACCTCTGCTTGCGGAGCTGCATCTCCTCCATCACGGTGTGGACCTGCTGAGAGCCGTCTTGCTGCCCCCCGGCCGGACTCTCCTCCGCTTCGTCCAGGGGCCACGGCGGCTGGGTGCACATCTGCTCCATCAACAGCGCCCCCTTCTGGCGCAGAGAAGCGAGGCCGGCCTCTGCGCGGACAGACGCGGGCGCACACACACTTTGGTTAACATCGACATTATCGGCTCAGAGGGGCGGGCTTTGCGATTGCCGGAGAGCACGGACCGACAGCCTGCAGCTTCTCCTCCAGCAGCTTGAGGTTCTGTTGAATCGAGGCTCCGTCGGCTGGAGCCACGTCGGCGCAGAGCATGCCGAGCAGGCCGTCCAGCTGCTGGGACAACTGCAGAACAAAGAACAAACAGCTGCTACGGTTACTCTCCTGCCACTTGATCCACATTCGGATCCATCGCGGGAAAGTTCTGCTTTTAGTTTTGTGGAGAGACCACCATGCGATCCACCAGTTCGGAGCGCAGCCAGCAGCACTATCCAGAGTGTGTGTGTGTGTGTGTGTGTGTGTGTGTGTGTGTTCACCTCCTGCGTGGTGCTGTGGAAGCCCTGCGCCGCCTGCAGGACGTTCTGTCGGCCCTCCAGCTGAGCGGCCTGCTGGTAGCAGACCTCGCTCAGCTGCTGCTGCAGCGCCTTCAGCTCCGCCACCTCCTCCTCCTCCCCGCCACCGAGCAAGGCAGAAATCTGCTGGTTCAACTCCACGTACACCGCGAACCACTCCTGCACAGAACACGCCGACGCAGCATGAGCGAACGCACTTAGTGCACAAGCTCAGCAGTTACACAATCAATTGTTCACTTAAATGAAAAATCATAAAGGTGGTTGATTTTGTCTTAACCGTGTGTTTGAACTCTCCTGGCTAACAAATGGAAATGCTCCTTTGATATTTGTCAGGTTATTATGCAAGTCAGCCAACAACAATGAAGGTTCTTTTAAAAGTTTCAGCCAACATTCATTTTACCAGGATATTCCCAATGAGATTGAAAGTGAAGACGGCAGCATGAGAGGCTGCACCCAGAAGCACAAACGGACTCGCTGTGACTTTTTGTTATGCCGCTGAATGAAAAGTGACATGTGAAATGCATTAGCAGTGAATTTGTTTCTGCTGGCTGGAAGCATCAAAGAGAGAACTGTCCTCAAATCTGTATTTAACCCCAAACCCCAGATTCGATTTATCAAAGCGCTTGATAAATCGAATGATGACGTGTGCGTTGCATTACACTGTGCTGGCTCTCGATCTCCTCGTGTTTCTGCTGCAGAGCCTGAGCCGCTCTCATCGAGTCCCCGATCGCCTTCTGAGTCTTCAGCAGCTCGGAGCCTGGACCCTGCAGCCAGGTGACCACCTGATATGACGAGGGGGAGGAAACACACAGCACACACACTGCTTCACTGGGGGAAAGTGGGAGGGGCCGCTCCCAGTATTTCTCTGCCCATAGTTGGAGCCATTTAGGAAACCACCACCTCATTGAACAGCATATCTTTGCGTCGTCCACTGGGAGACATGAAGATGATCGTTGATTGCACTGCAGTGCAGCGGAGCGGCCAGCAGGGGGCGCTCAGCCCCTACTAATATTCTCAGAGGTTTAAGTCAATTCTTTGTCAAATAATTTGTACAAACATCCCAAACAAATGTGCGTGTGTTACAGAAAATGAAGTAAAATCCGAAATTGATGTCCAACAGCAGAAGCACATAGCAGAGGGGGTTATACCGATCTCATGAATGAAGTCATGAATTTGATAAATTCCAGAGATTCAGCATTGTGCTTTCATCAAGTTGGACGGGACACAAGAAACGCATCTTAAAAGGAAAGTCAAAATCAAAGCAGCAGAGGAGGAAAGTATGAGTCTCCCCAGATGGAACTCTTCCAATAGACCATCTCTGTCTTGTAAACCGTGTGGGCAGCAGCCTGTTCAAAATGTCTCAAGTCTGATCTGAGATAACTTCAGATAGGGGGAATGGACACGGTCTTATCAGAATGTAGTCATGGTATTTAATAATCTAATACAACGTGTTTGTAATTTACACAATATTTACAACACATATTACAGCCATTTCTTGAAAAGCGAGTGCCTTGTTTTCAAAGTCCCGTTGTGTTTTGTGGATAATAATAATTCCATTAAAACGGTTTCCTGGTCTCACTTACGAGGTTGAAATATTCCCCACAGTCCTACGCAGTGACCAACGCTGGTCATCCAGATGTGTGTATCACGATTTAATTGTATTTATCAGGTCAGTGATGCCTTACAGAGCAAACACGCACACCCAGACAGACAGTTGGATCCAGAAGTAGGCCACCCGCCCCCCTCCCGCCCAACCTCAAATCCTCCAGGCTAGCGACCGGCATGGTGCGGTTACCATGGCAACCGCGGGCTCCTCTCCAAGCCCCCGGCGGGTGCAAGAGCACCAGTAGCCACAGCGGAGTCTACATCTACAGAAAGCTCCTAACTGATGCGGTTTCTAAGGGTCAAAGGTCAAACATTGGATGATAAAAGAATCGGGGCAAGAGACTTTTAAAGACAAGGAGGCCGCTGTAGCAATGTATGCAGTATACATTAGCAGCATACGTTTGTCTACAAGTGAAAAAATAGGCCACACACACAGGACAGTGCTACTCTGGTTCTTCCCAAAGGTTTTCAGAAGCAAGTCCACCTACGGTTTAAAGTTCTGCATGTTTAAAAACAGATTAAAAAAAAATACTTCAATCACACATCAACCTTAAGGTTGAAGGGAAAAAAAAGAGAGATTCTGGCCAATATGTGAAACACAATAGCATCGTCATGCGATTTAAAGATGGAGACGGGGGTTCGCAGCGTGTGTTACCTGCATGACCTTGGCGTGGATCTCGTCCAGCTGGGTGCGCTTGTTTCGCTGCCTGCAGATCTCCTGGTATCTGGTGTACTGCTCCCTGAGAGAGTCCAGCAGCTTCATCACTTGAGGCTGAGCCAGCAGCTCCTCCTCCATGGGACACCAGGCTGGCCCTGGAGGTCAGAGGTCAGTGAGGGGTCAGGCAGGGAAGCACTGCGGGGGGGGAGGGGGGAGGTGGTAGTCCATGTCATCACCCCTATCTTTGGGTCTGATGGTACAAGGAGGTTATTTTAAGGACACGAGAAGTCTGAGAAGAGGGGCCTCCTCTGGAGAGATTCTGTGACTCGCACAGCAAACGTGAAAAACGAACATGTCATTCCAAAATCCTGGGCCGTAATCTGCTGCTGTAGCAGCCTCCACTTTCAGGCTTTCCAACAGAATATTGGAAACCAAAAAAGCTGCAGGGATTTGCACTTGTTGGGCCTCAAGAGCATTAGTGAGGTCACCACTCCCAGCGGTTTACGCAGTGATGACATCATTGTCCATCTCCAACAGGACAGAGACAGTAAATGGCACAAAACAATAGATTCATTCTCCGACCAACACACACAGTGACACCTGCGTGACCGGCGGACGCCTCCTCACCTCCCTGCCCGCCGCCTCCCTCGGAGTCGTTGAAGCGCCGCTGCTGCAGCTCCGAAAGCAGCTCATGACCTGCGGGCAGACGAACAGACGCTTTGAGAAGCCTGCTCTACAAAGAGCGTCAGAGACAATAACGTGTCAGTGTTTGTCTACGCGCTGCAGAGGGAGGAGGGGGGCGCCGCAAACAAAGAGCGCCTTTCACCTCCAGCAGACACAGGCCGCTCAGTGCAGTGAGCGCCGCCATCAACGCCTCCCTCCTTCACCCATTGCTCATCCGTCCTTGGCGTCCCTTGAGCTGCGGGTCTGGACGGAAGCCGAGACTTCCTACACTCTCCAATCCGGACCCTTCTAACCCCAATTTTGTTCTATGATAATGTATTTCACAAGAACTGGCAATTAATATGATTTATATATACAACTTATACTCTAATTTGACGCCGTTGCTAATGTTGGAATGACAATGGAGGCTCCATGTGCAAATTGATTATATATATATATATATAAAATCAGTTTATCACGTGACTGTCGGTCTCAGTCAATCGTGGCTTCTTAGTTTTGCTCGAGTGCAGAATGTCACTGGTCTGGTTGCAGCCATAGATGTATTTGAGGCCAGATGTGAAACGAGCCGTGGAGAACAGATTATTTGGGTTGCTTTCACTGACAGAAGCCTTTCTCACACGTGATGTGTTCAGGGACCGTCAGTTAGCGGAAAATCAGACGATGGCGTCTCCAGCGTATGGCTGTGACATTTGGTGTATTTTATGTGAATGCTTAAAGGTAGGTTTTGGGGTTCAGAGGATTAATATCCACCATACTTGCACGGAGTATGATCCCTCATATTAACTACCATCCTCAAGCGATGAGTGACGAGAGCAAATCTTTAGAAACCTTCCTGCAGCAGGTCTACAGCGACTCTACTCAACATTGTGACATCTTAACAACATGAATGTGACTTTGTATTCAGAATCAGACAGCCTGCTCTGGTCTAGAAAGGGTTAGATCATTCATGTATATTCATGTTATAAAACGGGAGCCACTGTAGCGTAACCTGATTGGAAGGTGTGACTGCATGGATGCACGATTCTTTCAGTCACTACATGCAAGTCATGACTACAAGCGAGAGTAGATGTGTTCACAATAAGCGAGTAAATCAAGCAGCAAATAGGCCGCTGTCTGGGTTGTTGTTTGTACTGTATGAGCTTTTCTTTTTGCACTGTGTTGTGAGGGGTAATGCTATTTTACAAGAGAGGAATCTCTTTAAAATAAACTGTAGAAAATCAGCAATTTCTTATTTTTGTATTTTCTTTGTGCACAGGAAATGATAATTAACTGTGCTTTTAAAGGTTACGTTCACAAATACATATTTAAACCGCCAGATGTCTTTTAAACATCAATTTTTCTTACTGTGATTCATCCTGCCCAAAAATCACTTCCTAAAACGTTTTAAATGTGATCAGAATAAAACCACTGTTGTTTTTGCTAGTATTTTTTTTGGGGGGGGGGGGGGGGGGAGTCTCCCGCTTTGTGTTTCCTAGGAAGCTGCAGTGGAGCCGCAGTTAAAAGGGCTAAAAGGAGAGCGGAGGATATTTACCGGTCTGAAGGACGGTCTCCGGGTCGAAAGACGGCAAGAGGCCGCAGTCAGCTGACCTGCAGAGGACAGAGAGACACGCAGCTCTTCATCTGTCTGCTGCTGGAACACTTTAAACCCCAACTGTGTGTGTGTGTGTGTGTGTGTGTTTGTGTGGATGTGGGTATGTGTGTGGGTGGGGGCGCGTGCATACTTCTCCTTGCTCTCCGCGCTGCTCTTGTCGCTGTCGTTGATGATCGACAGCTCATCCAGCAGCGACGTCGACTCCCTGGTGAACTTCTCAAAAACCTGCGGCAAATCAAACAAACGTCCATGAGCGGGCTGAGACGCGGAGCCGGGTTACCATAGCAACAACGTTTGTCCCATTTTAGTTGGGAAAGACGTCGTGCACAGGAATTATAATGAAATACTGACCAGTCTCTTGTTGAGCCAGTCGTTGTGGTCGTAGTCCAGACTCCCGCCGAAGTCGTCCGTCAGCTGACAGGGTTCAATGTATCGAGTCAACTTATTGGCCGACACCAGGATCACCTGACAGGAAGCACAGGCAGCAGAGTCCACTTCAGATGTAAAACCAACAGGAACGGTCCAACCATCATCACAGTACCAGCACAGCGCGACAGAACTCACGACACCATTTCACTTCAGTGCACTTCTCATCCAATTACACCTTTAAGGGGGTTTAGAATGTTGCAACATTCGCGTCACGTTGTCTGAGCCGTTGAAAAGCCACGAGGTCTGAACGGAGGTCAGGAGGCCGAGAACTAAGCCACTGGTCATGCCTCTGACCAACAACACATTGAAAAAGACCTCCTCCAAGAGCCCCCCGCCAGGTTCCTACAGTAGCCCAGAAGGGACAAAGCAAACACTGCATGAGTTTCATTTGGGTGTCCATCATGGTCCTCACCTGTCCGCGGGGACGCGGCACGTTTTACATTGCCCAATAGTGGAGATGACGGTGGGTAAGGAGTCGTTTCCACTCCTACATCCTCAGAAGACAATGGAGCAGAGGAGGAGCAAACTAAGGAGGAGCACGGCAGCAGTGTGCCAACCCAAAACAGTTCATGGATCAGAGGACGTACGCCTCCTTGGGCCTCCCAGAAGACGCTTCACATCTGGAGATAGAGAGCTCCCTGTTCTGATCTGCATCAGGTTTTACACAAGACCGTCTATGAACTCGAGCTTCAAATATTTTACAGATTTTTGTGGCCCACCGTACACACGATGCTTCAAGAATGAACGCGGACGGTCGGGCAGCTGGTAGTGAGCCGCTCCCCCAGCTGTCGCTGCAGCAGATGCTGCCGGAGAAATTTGACTCTTCTCAGTGTGTGTGTGTCTGTGTGTGTGTGTTTATTTAAATGGGGGGTCAGACTCCGGAGCAGCTGTCCAACACCACGCCCCCCCCCCCCCCCCTGTGACATACACACACTCTCCCTAGCTTAAATGAGTCACATTTTAACACCGTCACCGGGATTCTCCTCCCCGACGCTGTGTGTGTGTGTGTGTGTGTGTGTGTGTGTGTGTGGATATCAAAGAAACAGATCTCAACAAGAGGCTCCATCCCCGCGTGATATTTGTGAGAGACTTTCGGCGCGTTCGTGGTAAACAAGACCAGAAGAATCTGCGCCTTTTAACCCACATAATTTCTCATATGAGCGGCGACTTTACAAGTTACTGCACACCCGCTAACTTGCTCCGGTTACCATGGCAACAGCTATCGGGCCAACACGGCTGCAGAAATCTGGGTCACAGCAACTACTAATTTCTGTCAGGAAAACCATCTGTTTTAATAGAGAGGGAGTTTGGCTGAGAATTACAATGCGCACACACACACACACACACACACACACACACACACACACACACACACACACACACACACACACACACACACGCGCCGTTTGACCCTGGCTTATATTTCCAGCAGCAATCAGGACAGTTAATGATGCTATAGAATATCATAACTGGTTCAGTTTTTCTGTTTAATATCAACGACACAAATTGTGTGTGTGTGTGTGTGTGTGTGTGTGCGCGCGCCTTAAACCTGCATTCTTTCTAATGGCCACCAGGGGGCGACTCCTCATTTTCAAAAAAATGAAAAGAAAGGTATTGCCTTATTAACATGAGTTTATGGTCTTTAGTCATAATTATTCTTCAACACAGCATGACGTCTGATTTTCTGATGTTTGACCACAGGGCAGGGTGTGCTTGAGGGCGGAGCTACCTTGTGATTGACAGGCCTCTATCTGAACTGTATTCGGTGTTCCAGAGGCACTACTACTCAAAATGTGGCGACTTCCATTTAGTGGTTGCACAAAAACCATGATGGCCACAACGCCAAACCCAAGGCTTCAAAGCGTCAGTTCAGAAACAAATGTGTCTCAACGCCTACGTCCACTTCTTATGTACATTATATGAGCCGGACAGTGCAGGGAAATATTAAAACATTTGAGCCCCAAACAAGCTCGGCAGTGCCCAGAACATACCGAGCCAAACAGCATATCAAATGATGATGTATATATGTGTGTGTGTGTGTGTGTGTGTGTGTGTGGAGATATATATATACATATATATCAGCTCGGTTTCTTCCACCGTGCTTGTAACCCATAAACTAGTTGTTGTGATGTTTATATCTGGACAAAAGTGGGGGGCCGGCTAGCAGACCGACATTGCCGTATTTATAGTGGCGCCACTAGTGTGGTTACAAAATGACATAGTTGGTCCCTCTATTGCTTTTTTTACTGACAAACTTTATATCTGCCACGTTTCACTGGATAAAACCAAAATGTGGAAAGCGAAGCAGAAGCCTCACGTGGTTCGGAAACATTCAGGTCAGGAAAGCCCCCGTGTGACGGAAAGGAGAACACCGGCATGGCAGCTTCACAGCGATCGCTTTCACTCGTCAACAAATGGGACAGAAGCCTCATGGAAACTCACCTCGAAGCCTAAGCGGTCTTTCTCCTTCCAGAAGCAGAAGTGCGTGACCTTCTTGTCCCAGAATTCATCTGGCTTCACCACACACACCAGCGACACCTCGGCTGGGATCACATTCTGAAACGGCACCGGTCGCATAATCATACTGGTCTCCTTCATCAAGTCGTTTGCGTCCCCTTTGGGATCCATTAGGTCTGTACCTGCAACATGAGCACCACAGTCTTCACGATGTTCCACTGAGACTTCCGCCCGTCCACGATAACGGTGAAGCCTCGCGCCTTACACTTCTGACTGAGACAGAGAGACAGAGGAAGCACTTCATGAGGCCGCTGTGTTATCCGAGCTGTGCTCACCGACGGTGCAGCGTATCCAACAGTAGAAAAACATGACATGAAAATACGGCATTGGTGATGTGATACTGAAGTGGAACACAGAGTGAAGCCCTATGAGATGATTGTCGCCCTGACGCGGCTTGTTTCATGATTTCACCTACGGGAATAAACTCCTGACAAGTGGCAACGAGCTCAAAGCATCTGCCAACAGCTTTACTGCAGAAATAAAACAGGGAATAAATCACTTGTCAAGCTGCCAAACGAGGTGGTTGATAAGAGTCTGTCGGAGCTTAAAAATCAACTTACAAACAATCAGAGGAGATTGAGATGTAAGCGACTCAAAAACCAAATACATTAAGCTTGAACGGCGGTTAGTTAATGTCAACAGTTTTGTTTCAGGCGAGAAATGTCATCGCGGATCAGAACTAATCTCTTTAAACTCTTAAAACTTTCCGCACCGGATCAAGTCGAGTTTGTATATCTTCACAAACATCCGTTGGAACGGGAAGGCTTATGGGACAATCAGGCTGGTCTGATGTCCGGCCCGATACCAGCTGTGAGAAACCGAGATCATCCTTTAAGCCCTTTAAAGCAGAGCCCAGCGTGCTGGAATCAGACGCAGCCCGGCCCCCGGATGCAAAGCCTCGGGCATCTCCTCCACCCTACCTGGGGATGCTGAGCAGGTAGTCCAGCGTGGCGCTGAGCTCCTCCATGCTGGTCTGATCTGAACTGAGAGGGATGGTCAGGATCAGACCACTGCGCCGGTCTTTGCCCCCTGAAGAGAGATGGATCCGCAGATTACTGACCGAAGCGCTTCTAAACTGAGAGTATAATCTTCACATGTTTGTGCGAGTGCGTTTTACCCGACAGAAAGGCCAGTTTCTTCTTAAGGATGGGGAGCATGTTGGTTGCTTCCACTGGAACGTTGGACATCTGTGGACGGATACAAACTCAACCATTTGAATTCATTTCAACTTGTACCGTCATATTAAATGAAATATGTTCACTGGAACTACTTTGGTCTACCAATCCAGATACTACGCCGAAAGCCCAGTCAGTAGTCCACATGCTTACACTTCTATACCGTCTTACTCTATGGCCCACAATCGTAGACCAGATGCTCAGTCACTACGCTCACACACACCAGTCCACATCTAGGACATCTACACTAGTCTATATCTTTACACCCTAGTCTACATGCTCACACAATACTAGGTAGCTACCTAGTCACTAGTCCACATGGTCTGTGTCGCTCACTAATGAGGTGACTTCTACAGGGTTGCCATTAAACACTGAAGCAGCACAGACACACGCTCCAGCCGAGGCAGTTCATGAATGTATTTGGTTTAACTGAGGGATTTTTTTCTCCGTCTCTGCGTTTCCACAAACAGATTCAGATGCTTGGCTTCCCGTTCAGCAGTGATTTGATTTGGTCGGTTCCATTAGGAAATTTAGAAGAAGAAGGGATGACCGTGCTGACATATATATATAAACTGTCAACACAGACGTTGGTTTGACATCTGTGTCAGTTCCGACCTATTTGCTGGTTTATCTTTTCATTGTTGACATTGATTTTATTACCTTTGAAAAGAGACAGTTGGTGAACAACACTTTAATAGTGGACATTAATACTACACCAAACTACTTCAGTATTGGGCATCTAATCTTTTCTTGACCTTATCTTGCCAAATGTTTGTGTATGACTCAAAAGCTAGACCCAACATTGATTTATCTCCCCATTTAAGCTTTTAGTTATTGTGTTTATGGCATGGTTGGTTTTTCTTATCATTTTTTTATTGCTATAACGACCTACAAGTTTAGTTAATATATAAAATATGTTTTCCTGAACAGTAACTTTAATTGTTGCTATTTCAGTGATGAGTATATACATTCCATGAAGAAATACTCCAACCAAGACATCAAGTTGTCCGGCTCTGTCAAGGTTTACTTTTATAGGGTTACTATTGATTTGTATTGTTTTTGCTCTGCTGAAGTCCATCATTTGTTACGGGTGTTATTACATCGCCATCGGCCGCTTCATCAGTGGTAATAAATGAGTCTGGGCACTGCAGCACCAGTCAGCCTTCACCCTCCTCCTCCTCCTCCTCCTCCTCCTCAGCCTGCTTGCGGCCTGGCTGCAGCGGCAGGACGGCCCGGGACGGCTCGGTTTGCCTCGGCTTGGTTCGGCTCGGCCCACAGACACAATGACCTACATTCAGCAGCTGCAGGCCGCGGTGCCTCCCTCACCTCCGCCTCAGTACACGCGCAGTATCGACAACTTGGAGATCGATCAACAATAAGCATCGATCGGGCGGCTGTTCTTACCTTCCAGTCAGATCTGCAGCATTATCCTGTTCTGATTGTTTCTCCCTGTCCTCTTCCTCTCCTCCTCCTCCTCCTCCCGTTCCTCCTCTTTCACTGGGTAGTCAGCGGATATTCTGCTTTCCATCCAACACTGAGGATCGCAGTTTTCTCTCCGTTAGCTTCGATCAGCAGTTGAAACACACGGCGAGCAGGCGGCGCAGCTCGCGACTCTGCGCAGCCTCAGTGAAGCCCAATAAAACAAGGCGACTTCCGGGGAACCAACCTTCAAAATAAAAGCCCAGAGAGGCGCCGTGGATAATCACGTTTTCAATAGAGGAGTTGGAGTCAAACCAAAGTCTTGGTCAAATGCAGTTTTTAACATGATGATGGCACCTGAAGATAAGTCTAATTATTCCATGGAAATTATGAACAAAAGTCATGCCAATGTTGTCTGCCCCTGATATAGTTTTATTGTTTTTTATTTGCTTCATGAAGCTGGAACCACGCATCCGGGGCGGAGCCAGAGTCTGAGAGGCCACTCCCCATCCTGCTCATTCCACTGAGAGGTTCAGGTACCCTGAGACACTGCAGTATCTGACTCTCAGTGTCTGGTTTATTTACAAATAAAACAATAAGCACTACATATATAAACGTCTCGTCAAAAACCATAACCTAATACATTACAGGAAATTTTGATTACTCTGTTTTGATTCATTAAAGCCTACATATCCATGTTTCCTCAAAAATAGCAGTAGACACCAAACAATATGTTCTTTATATACGTTGCAAAAAATTCAAATTCATATTACCTATATCTGAATCTCGAAGAGGAAACATAGTGAACTAGATCTAAAGCAGATGAAGCAAAGTGAATTCTCACGTCCATTTTCAGGAGGAATCAGGAATCAGGAAACATTTACTACTAAAATATGTCAGACATACAAGGGATTTGACTAGGCAGTTGGTGCATAACAGCAGACAGTTAGACAATGGACAACAAGACAGAGAAGACAACGTAGTGCAAGAAGTTTAAACTTCTGCTGACTTTTAAAGGAAAGAGGTGTAGAAATCAGGGGATTTATTGGAGGAAATAGAACATAATAATCTTAACTTTAGTTAGTTAGTGTATTATGACCTGAAACTAAGATTTGCTTTATTTTTCTTTCTTAGCTTAGAAGGAACCATCTCTATCTACATGTAGAGTGGATCTAGAGAAGGTTGTGTCATCTCTACATAACCAAAGGCCACCGCGTTATCCAGCGAGTTGGTTGTTATCTGAAACCTCATGATGCCGCACGGCAGAGCAATAAAAAGCGTCAGGTATTGACAAAAAAAAGTATTTCCTTTTCATTTCACGTAAGTGAATGCATCGCTCTCAATGTTCACAAGTCGTAAACAGGTTTGGCTAGTTTTAGGTTCATCAATTGCTTTTTTTTTACATTTGTGTCAGACGTCTTATAGGCAAGTTGTGCAGATGACCTCAGGAGCAGCAGGTGTGTCTTCAGCTGATTTCCCTGCATCCTTTAGAGGAGGCGTGGAGGCCCATGGCCACCTCAACCTGAAAGCCAGTTAAGGAGAGCGTAACTATTCATTCTGAACATCATCAACGTTTTGCTTCACACTGTTAAATTGCACATATCCTCTTTGAGATTTCCACAAAACACAATATTTCTATGTGCCAACCGTTGTTTTAAAAATGTAAAAACAAATCTTATTTGTTGTAATATTCAAATAGTTACGGTAACAAGATACTACTATTACATCTGTGTACTCTTTGTCAGGGCTAAGTTGTCACTACTCTCTGCACTATTGTGCAGACTGACCGCTGTGCGACCGCCACCTGCTGGATAGTGTCGGGCAGCGGCTGTCTGAAGGTCTCCGGCAGGAAGACGCAGACCACAACACTGAGCAACGACAGGGCGCCCACAACGATCCACGGTAGGAACTGGTTGAAAACAGCTGGAGACCGAAACAGACCACATCAGTGCGTTCATACCTCCAACACAGTCCTTTAATCACCTCCTCACCAAATCTGTAACTATAATATGTTTTATTAGTGTTTTGGTTTCAAATCTCTAACTGAATGTGACATAGTGCCGCCTCACAGCCGCTGCTCATGTTTATTGCCCTTTACATGCCGAAGCTCCGTTGTCCTAGTTTGTCCATTGCAGTTGGTATTAGAGGTACGGCTACACAAACACACATGTTCTTGTGATAAGTAACCGTATATACGTTGAGCTGCACAGTGTAATGTGTGCAGCGCGAGGTCTCACCCAGCTGCAGCAGGTATGGGGAAACAGAGGATCCCACTCTGGAGAACATGGCGCAGGTAGACATGGCCGTGGTCCTGATGACTGTGGGGGACAGCTCACTCGTATACATGTACAACACCCCGGTGCCGGCCAGAAGGCCAAATTTACCCACCAGCACCAGGATCAGGGTGAGAACCGGTTGACCTGCAGGGAGGAAGCGGACAGTAAGTATAATTTATTTCAATTTAAAGAGGTTGAAAAGTGGCGTCTTGTTTTGAAAACTTTGCACGAAATAGTTTGAAATCCTATTTTTATCTACTCTCGCCTGTGTCGTTAACGTGAGAGGCTCGTCCCTCAGTCAAAGAGCAAAAGCTCACTATATATTTTGTGGGATTACAGGTTGCATTAGAAAAATGTACTAATTACAGTGTGGCATGCCTCCGAGTTCACATTTAAAGGTTCCACTGTGGAGCTATGGAGCTGTTTTTCATTGGGTGGGAGCACAACGGGGTCCACATCTCTAATGCAAAGCATTGGTTTTGTGAACACGGACACATATTGATCGTTTTTTAACATATATAACAACAAGTCATTTAACTCTTTTTCACAGTGGACAAAACATGGACATCGTCGTAGAATGAATTATTAACAAAGACCACATACATGGGGGTTGAGGTGGATTGACAGAAGACACACTGGCCGTTGTTTTATACGGCAGCATCGTCGCCACATTTCTTTTGTATTGTGATCTCGTTCCCCAAAAATGTTGTACTAAGTGACTTCATAAAAATACACAATTTGTGTGCCGACTGCATGTTGTGCCCATAAGATTCATGTAATATAGATAAAATGTTTACTGAGCTCAATCAAGTGAG